GCAGTGTTGAAAAACATAAAAAGCACAACTATCAACAATTCAAGGAACGATAAGGCAAAAGCAATGCAATTTGAGAACACTCTATATACGTAAAAAGCCTCTAAAATAGCTTCTGTACAAGGTTATCCAGTCAATATATACTGCATTTGTAAGTTATTGTGTATTTAAAAAATTAATGAAAGGTATAATTATAGAAGCATTACCAGTGACCTTTTCCAAAATGACTGTCATGAATCGGTAAGCATTTCAGAATTGTTTTCCACGTTCCTAATATTTTTTTTCTGCAAATTACTGACATCTAGCCCTGGGAACAAAAAAGAAGGAATTGGAAAGCCTCTTCTGGTTTCCTAGCAATGGTTTCATGGTGAGTTTTCCATAGAGCCAGTTGAGAAGATGCTATTCCATTAGCTAAGATTTTTTGTGGAGTTTTAAATGCTTACTCTGAGGGACAGAATAGAAACTATCCTGTCTAAAGCCTGTAAATTGCCATTCCATGGTTTAGGTTGGAGAACCTTTGTTAAATTGAGCTTAGAAAACTTACTTTGTCTAAATGCCACCTGGGCTCTTGTATTTATTGCTTCTCAATGACTTTCAGATCAGACTACAGAGATGGAAAAAATCAAAAATACTTTTTGTGTTGGCTTCACAGAGTTGGACCTTGAAAACCCATCTGCTTTTGTCTTCTGTCCTTGCAATAAGCAATTAAGAGCTTTCAGTTAGGCCACGGTAGACAATGTTATTGAGGCAAAATTCGCAGTACTTAATGTCCCCCTTTCCCCTGTATCATCTTGATAGTTTAGCTATATTTATTAAAAAAATAAAAAATCTACCTCCCTAATTTAGTGAGCAGAAAAAGTAAGTAAGAAACATGGGAATCAGATAAGATAAATGAAATGGTCTCTTCAAAGCAATGTGAGGACTCATCATTTGAGTAGGGAAAAATTAACTCCCACCAATCTCCTTCCATTTTTTCCCTTGAGACTTTTTTCCATCCACACTGGATACAGAAATCCAGATGTACGTACTGGAGCACATAATGCTAAGCACTTACTGACACCTGAACACTATCATTTTTAAGATGTTGCAGCTCTTTGCTGTCTGCCCAACCCTCTCCAAAACAGATATGGTGGGAAGAGGTCATGTGCATGCACCTTAGTCGCTACAGAAAAATATCCAGTGATGTAGTTTACAAAACTGATAAAACTAAGCAAGGTTCACCTGCAATACCTGATTATGGTCAGTCAGGGTTTGTTCCCTCTGATGGTTTACTTAGGCCATTTTTAATTCCACAAAAGATGAGTGTTTTCTAACTTCCTAAGGAAAGCTGTTTGAGGGTCCAATGGATCCCCACAGATAACATAGTACTCTTTTCCATTCCTTATGTTTGCTTACTCTCATAGAAGTTTCAAATGCACAACAGAGTCATCTTGAAATATAATGTAATCTTCATCATGTTGGCTGGTCAATCAGAACATGCTGTAGGTGTCTGGGTTGCATTTATGATTGGTGAGCAGTGTTCACAGGGTGCAGTTGCTTGCTAGATTCTGTGCATATCAGCAGCTCTTATCTCTGAAGGCTGCCCTGCAATGGTTGATGAGGCTTAAGAAGGTTTTATTAGCAAGAGGGGCGGGGAATTACTATTTTAGGAATCAGGTGAACCAAAACCATCTCTGCAGTACAGAGGAAAACGTCCCTCTCTGTTCACACTCTCTAATTACATTTAGTGTAGTATTGTTTCCATCCAAATTATAGCAATTATATACAGAGATCTTCTTTGAAATCATTTAATTAAAGAGTAGCTAATGCTCTTGTGCTTTTGGAATGCTAATATCTTGCCTTCCACTTAGGAAACTTTGGTTTTCTTTTCCATTAACAGATATTATTATGAAAAAAATTCAATGGCAGAGGGTTTTTTGGTTTCCAGTTGGGTTTGGGAGGGGGGTGGTGTTTGCTGGGTTTTGGGTTTTTTGGGTTTTGTTTTGGTTTGGTTTTTTTTAGCTTATTTTAAGAGATTTAAAAAGCAAGTGGTTCTGGAGACTTTTGTAAAGCACAAATAAGCATTTTGCTCTCCTATTGGACATTTAGCTAAGGGTGAACCTTTGAGCAACATTTCACTTGAGATGCATTGGCTGCTGAAGTGTTTGATTTCTCCAGATGTGTTATCTTCTGGGTTCAAGCAAGTGTTTGTGTTTGGTTATATTCTCCCCTCTTACTATTTTTTCTGTGTAAATACACATGCAGCCAAATCCTGAGGTGGTACAAATCTGCTGGACTAAATGGTTTCTGCCTGCTGAGTTGCTGCTTTGCAGGAATGACATTTTCAGTCATGCATCACATTCAGGACAAACAAGATTCATGGGAGAGCTTCCCAGCTGTGCAGTATCATGCACCCTGTAAGTGTGCTGAAAGTAAGTGTGGCATAAAAGCTGGTGAGGTTTACCCACTGCTGAGGGAAAGTGGGAAGGAGAACTGGAGATAGAAGTCCTACTTGAGTACAGTTTCAGAGGCCTTCTGCAACCCCACTATGTACTATTTCCTATTCCTCCCTTCTCCTTCCTTCTCCCACTGAGTGCCCTGGCACCACATATTGCTGTGGTTTCCATGGGTTGATCTTGGTCCAGGATGTGCCTTCTGTGTTGACAACACAAAAACAGGAGCTGTGGTTTCTTTTGTAGCTTTGAATGTGGTGGTGTTCCCTATCGTTAATACCCCACAATTAGGACTACACTAAGAAATGTTGTGAAGAGCCAGCAACAATCTACCTAATTAAATCCATTCCACCATACAAGTCCTTCTCCACCTGCTCATTTCTAACCTGTGTACACAATTGTCACAGGTTCTTCTTTTGTTGTACCCTCTCCATTTCTTGTCAGCTTCTTGGAGCTTGCCTCTATGAGGCAGAACTTGGATGCAGAAAGGTATCCCCAGCAAACCCACAACTCCAGGCTCTTGGATCTCCCCCATCCCACTTTCTGTCTGTGATCCCATGAGCTGAGACAGGTCTAAATGGGAGAAGATGACTGATTCTTGGATAGTCACTGTTTCACAAAAAACAACAGAGGAATTTGGTGCAGGCTACAATCTGCAGAAGGAGTAGTTTGGACAGTGAGCAGAGACCAAAGCCAACAACCCTGTGTGATTACAGTGTAAATAAAGATGAACTAGAGTAAAGAATGGCAGCACACTGAGGACACAGCAGGATCTGGATTGCAGTCAGTGCTTGGAAACGGAATTTTATCTTTTGTTTCTATTTCGCTTTCATAGGGAAATTTGTAAATCATCTCTCTCCCTCTTTCCTTTTTTTAGTCTGGAATAATTAAAGCAACAAAAACTTTAATCTCATTAGTGGCTTGTGTAAAAATGTAGGTTAGTGAAAGATCCGGCGTAATGAGAAAACCCATTATTTCTCTGCCTGGTAAATCTCACAATAAGGGTGATACAATGACATTTAATGAATGTCAGAAAGATTTGGGTTTCCGTACATGCAGAATTTTTAAAATCTGGAACTTGTCTTTTCCATGACATTTTAGGTTCTTTTCTATTTGAGGTAGCCAAGAGGTTGTCATGCTACAATGACAATAAGCTTGATTGTTGTCAGGGATTTTGTTGTTTACGTGTACTGAGATGTTCCCCCTACCAATGAGAAGCTGTAGTTTTGTTCATGGCTTTTAAAGTCTGGTCACTCATCCTAATTTCCTCCTATTACACACCTCTTTGGAAATCCAGCTGCAGTTGATTGAAGAGCTGCTCCTTCCTGAGAAAATCACAGCTGGCCAAGGGAATAGCAAGCTGTTACTTGATCGAAAACTAAGCACCCTGCAGCACTTGTGCAGTGTTTCTGGATGGATGGAGTCTTTCGTCTGGGTACCTAGTGTTGTTAATTAAACCATGATTTTATTATGATTTTGCTTTCTTTGGTAAAAGTGTGAGCTTCCAATATGTGCAGTCCCTTAGTATTTGTGTCGATGGTACTCTGGTGATGTATTCCACCAATGCTCGTTGTTACATCAGTCCTTTCCTTCCAGACACTTAAGTAAGCCCACAGGTTTCCCTGCATGTGAAGGAGGGCTGCATAGTTGGAATAGCATGTAGGGAGACCTGTGTTCAGCAGCCAGTTCTGCTGCTGATGTTCTGGTCCAAGCTCAGAAGTCTCTGGTGCTATTCAATTTTATATGATCCCTTTTGTCATCCCATTTGTGGGATGATGTGTGCCTCAGTTTTGAATTACAGCCTGAGTCCTTCCACTGCTTTTTGAGTGCTCCAATTGTTCCTGTATACTGCCTTACTCAGTACAAGCCTTGTGTTGCTCTGAAGTGGCATGTGTCATTTTGATCCTGGAAATCAATTTATTACTTAACCAGATGAACCATGTAGTGTGATCAGTGACTGCTGCTGCCGAGTGACCTACTCAAAACAATTAAGAAAAACTCTGCTAATAACCTTACAGTGATGATCATTTATAATTCCACTCCTACAAGCTGCAGTCAGCATTCACCAGGTGCAAGGGATGTTGCTGTCTTTGCAGATTGCTTGCCTACAGTCTATATCCCGATTATGTTATTTCCGGTGATTATTTTACAATTCATTAAGTAGTAAGTTTGTGCAAGAGAAAGTTCAGCAGTAAAGAAACAGAGTCAGCTAAGAAAGGCTTGATTTTTAGAGAACTAAACCATGTATTCATCAGAATAGCTCCCTTGACATTATGCATATTACTTTTTAGTCTGTTTTTTTATTGTTCTTGAGTGATACCTAGCTGTCTGTATTAGAGTCAAGGTCCATTGTGCTCAGTATTAGAGGCACAGAAGGCCTTCCAATACAGGCTATACAAGGGGTCAGGGAAAGGCTAAACAATTCTAGGATGTTATAGGAACAGGATCTCTGACATCAAGCTCCACAGCTGTGTATTGGTTTCTGCAGAGATTAATGAGAAATTATTTGCTTAATGGAAGCATACCACTGGCTGATACTAGTTCTTTCTTTTTTTTCTCTCCCATGCACAGAGTTTTTGGGCACTTCAGTCTCCGTTCTGAATGGCAGCTGGTCAAGGTGGACTACAAGTCGATCTTCAACAGAAAGTGTAACAAAGATGATTACCAAACCTGGCATCTGCACAATCAGGTACTCTCACTGTGAAGGGAGAGGGTGATGAAGGTTCCTTTTCCCATACTCTGTGTTGCCAGGTAGGAATGTACTTGTTCTTTTCAGCAGATCATATGGATTTTTTGCATCCCTCGAGTCACAGTTGTAACCCACTACTGCTTTACTTCTCCTGAAGCATATACATGAATAAACACAGGGCCAGAATTCTCTGAGCAAGTCAGGGAGACTGTTAACTTCTCTTTATATGAAAATATTCCACTGCACCAGCTGCAGTGCCCTCACTGCTCAGGGCAATGTAAAACCTCGCCTTGTGACCGAATTTGTAGGAGACCCTGAACTTTTTGTAGCTCTGTCAGTGACTCATGAAAATAATTTTCTTTCACTTTGCCTTTGTTTTCTCTACTCAAAAATGAAAATAAAAACATTTATTCCTCCTGCAAGTCCTGCAGGTGTCTGCAAAACTCTGGGGAGCCCTCGAATAAAAGACACCAAGACCAAATTATTTCATTTTATTCAAGGACACATGCTTTGCTTTTCATACCTTCTGGCTTATTTTCATGCTGGATACATTTTGGTACTGAAGACACTAGAACTGAGAGAGCTCAGCTTTGAAGATTACTTCTGGGTTACTGGCCACCAGTACAATGTCCCACTCCCTGCAGGGCAGCATAACTAGAGCCAGAACTGTTGGCATTGAGATGTTTCCAAATGAAATCCATGCATTAGAAATGAGCATTAATTTGGCAAGGTTGTGTTAGATAACTGAAGTCATAGAATAGAATATATGAAAATAATTTAGTTGAAAGAAAGGAGAAGATGCGTAGCATGGCTGCCATCTTGGGAATCACTTTAATGGGAAAGAGAAGTATATTAATTAGGTGGTGTCATTTTTCCTTACTTGTATGCAGACAAATTATTTCTGCATGAGAGAAATTTCTGTTTATAGCAACTCACCTAAATGTCAAATGTTTCTTTTAGACTGGCTACTCCCCGTAGTAACCTTTCTGTTCAAAAAGCTCGGTGTAACATGCCATCAAAATGATTTTATGCCTATAACAAAGCCAGGACTATGAAGGAAAGAGGAGAGGACCTAGGAGTCCTGGATTCTACCCCTAGATTTTGTCCCTGCCCTGGGTCTTGGGCTTGGTTACTTCTTAGTAGATTGCTTCTGTCATATGAAAAAAACCCTGGGGTACATTCACATTGTCTTTTCAGGATAATTCATCGCACCAAAAACATTGGTGGATGCCTTTTGAAATATGGCATAAGTGGGTGTGTTGGCCTGGGCACCCAGGTTTTTTGGACACATTGTCATCCCAGCTCAATGCTTAGGGTCCTCCCAGGGTGGCTTTCAGGTTTGCAAAGCCACAAAAGGGAGCTATGCTCTTAGCTCCCAACTCTCCTGGTAGTAATTTCTTACTTTACTTACCTTTTGTATCTTTTGACAAAATGTTCCATTTAGGGACCAGCTGCCACTGTAACTCTGCTTTTCTTTCTCCTGTTTCTTTTTGTCTGCTGAAGGGAGAGCCTTGTGTCATGGGAGAGAGGAAGATCTATAAAAAACGCAAGCCTGGAGCCCAGTGTTCCCTGGGTCGGGACTATTCTCAAACTGTAGTGTCTGAACCATGTGTCTGCGGTCAAGGGGACTTTGAGTGGTGAGTATGTGGCTCTGGGGACTTTTGTGGGGATTGTTCTTGTTGCATTATCAGTGACTGAGCTACTGCCCAGACAGAAAACCTTGCAAAGAAACTGGTTCTCATGCAGCTTTGTGGCTGTGATTGTATCATGTAGCATAGATGTGGTCCCCATGCCTGTTGACTGACGGAAGGTATCCCCTTCATCTGTGACAGAGATTTGTTAATCTTTACAAGAATTCCAAACCTGGAATACAAAAGCAGAAAGTTTCAGTTGACTCAACTGACTGACTCTTTTTTTGTCCATCATTCTAGAAGAGTGATAGCTGGGACTCTTCTCTGGTCCAAAGCATGTCCCTTACGGGAGAAGGAGGGAATTTCTGTCCTTACTTTCAGGGTCATTGCATACCTAGGGAGTAAGCTAGCAAAATGTGCACATTTTTCTCATTATTCCTTTGAATATCTGGGAAGTATTTGTTGCTTTTTAGCAATGCTTTATTGAGAAATTTTCTGAAAAGACTTCTGTGACATGGCTATACAGCCCAAACATCTCAACTGTAGCTACTAGTTTTGCATAAATATTGGTGTATCTAACTTAATGGGGCTGTAACTTCCAAACTGCTTTAAGGTCACTTTGAAAGCCGCTTGACAATCAGAGAAAGGAGATGGAACATGTATAACAATCAGGATCTCTGCACAAGGGATTCCTACAGGGAATCTGTGATAGGCAATATTGCAAAGATTTAAGACTGTCAGTGGGTGTGATTCTTGAGCTTAAATGATCAGAATGTCTTTTAAATGGAGTTTAAAATATCCTGAAAGCAGATCAGCTGAGAAAACATTTTCATTTTTATAGTAGGTTATCAAGATCAGTGTCTGATTCAGTAGCAATGTAATTCCTGGAAATTTTGCTTCCTTTTAAGTGTTTCCTGAAGAGGTGTGAGATATGAGATCTTCACAGCTGAGACTCACACTTCTTTTTAGAACATGGACACACTGAAACTCAGAAAAATGAATAAAAATATAGATCAAAGTGTTCAATATTAGAATCATAGAATAGTTAGGGTTGGAAAGGACTTTAAGATCATCTAGTTCCAAACCCCCTGCCATGGACAGGGATGCCTCACACTAGACCATGTCACCCAAGGCTCTGTCCAGCCTGGCCTTGAACACTGCCATGGATGGAGCATTCACAACCTCCCTAGGTAACGCATTCCAGTGCCTCACCACCCTAACAGGAAAGAATTTCTTCCTTATACCCAATCTAAACTTCCCCTGTTTAAGTTTGAATCCGTTACCCCTTGTCCTGTCATTACAGTCCCTAGTGAAAAGCCCCTCCCCAGCAACCTTGTAGGCCCCCTTCAGATACTGGAAGACTGCTATGAGGTCTCCGTGCAGCCTTCTCTTCTCCAGGCTGAACAGCCCCAACTTTCTCAGCCGATCTTCATACGGGAGGTGCTCCAGTCCCCTGATCATCCTTGTGGCCCTCCTCTGGACTTGTTCCAACAGTTCCATGTCCTTCTTTTAAGAACACCGGAACTGTACACAATACTCCAAGTAGGGTCTCATGAGAGCAGAGTAGAGGGGCAGGATCACCTCCTTCAACCTTCTGGTCATGCTGCTTTTGATGCAGCCCAGTATACAGCAGCGAAGTTTGTCTTTAAGAGAGGTTCAGGAATATGGAGCAGAGATTTTAATCTTATCTGGATGGATATTTAATTTGTTCCTAATGCCAAAATTACATCTGAGACTCCTTAGCTTGACGTGGGAGATCTTTTTCCCCTTTGTTCTCATCATGGGAACTTGCAGGATGAACTAGCTTTCTTGTCCTGCAGTATCTGCCCTTGGCATTGGCATATGCCTCTGAGCTGAACCAAGTGCCAGTCTCCAGAGATGCCTGTGAATTTGCTCTGTCTTTTTTTTTTTTTTCTTCCAGCTTTGTGCCTCACCACCTTTCTATTTTCACAGTGACATTTGCCTTTTCTAAGCTGTAAGTTGAAAACTGTGGTAGCTAAATTGGCCTTAAGTGCTCTTCTGCCTTGAGAAGGGTCTGCATCAGAATGCACTTTTTCAATCGATATGTTCCTTGCATGAATTCAGTATCATTTTTGCTTAACTTTCCCCCTAACATGAGAGAATATTGCTTTTAACCTTGTCAGTCCTGCAGAGGAAATGCAGTTAGAGGATAGCAATCTGACTTGTTTCAGGCTTTGCACTGCCAACACACTTGTTAACTGGCTTCCGAATGCAAAACTGTTATAGCTGGTGATGGAGAATCAGAAGAACCAGCTTCAGTTTAAGGGTGCATTTTGCTGCTAGTCTTAAGGGCTGGCTGGAAGAAGGTGTGGGGCTATCAATTTGAAGAAAATACTAGAGCTGCTGGAAATGGGCACAAAGCTTGATTATCTTAGAAGCAACTATCAAAGAGTGGACTCATCTGCTCTGACTTGTGACTTCTAAATTATAAGACCACTATTTAGTCAGTGGCAGGATACGGGTTATTCTAGACTATGATTCATCTGCCTTCTTTTGGATCTCAGTATGAGAAAAGGAGATAGGTCTCCACTGTAAATATCTCCACTGTAAGGATAGCTCTGACTCTTTCACTTGATGCTTTTGAAAAGGAAAGATCTCAGCCTTTTCTGGCTGGGTTCACAGTTGTCAGTTGTTCTTGGAAGCACTGACTGGCCTGTCAGTGTGTGAACTGTTCTCATGTGTGAACAGATCCTATGGAGTGTCAGGGAAAGAAGGAGGAGGACTGACAGCTGGGGTTGTGCGAGTACACTGACCAGCAAGTCCCAAGAACAGGCTATCTGCTTTCCTAGTAAGTAGGTTTGGAGGTTGGTCTGGTCACAGCATCCCATGCTACAAGGTGTGATGACACTTGCCTTCAGGAGCTGTACAAGCAGGACAAATCACTGCAGGAGCCCTACAGCACAAGCTGTGAGTGCTGTGCTCCCTCCCGTTTGGTCATAGGAGCCTTGCCCCTGTCTGCCTCATGTTACGGAGCTATCTGTTTCCTGCTGTTAGATATAAGGCTGGTCTGAGTTTTGGGGGCAGAAATCATCATCCAGGGCCCCAGTTCAACAAATCCTCATGAGTCAAGATCAGGGGTGACCCCTACCAACCCTTGCAGTCATTTCCAGAAGCAAACTCTGGCCTTTTTCTGACAGAGAGAATGGCAGAAGGAACTCAGAAGTGTTATTAAAGTGCTCGCTGATCTTTCTTTTCCCTCCTCCTGCTTTTTTATTTACACTGTCAAGATGGCTTTCCAGAGAGAGACAGCACAGCAGCTGGACTTGATTATTTCCTTAACTTATGCAAACCCTGGGGCTTATGAGAAGGAAGGTGGGCAGCATGCAGGGTTTTAATATACATTTACCAGAAGTTAATGAACAAGCACAGAACCTTGAGGGCATACAGCAATGTTGTCTTTAATTTTATTAAATATTTATGCAGCTCTTTTCTTCTTTGGGGCAAAGTACAGCTCCTCCTGAATATTTTTAATTACCAAGTCACTGCCAGGCATTTTTGACTGTGCAGGTCGGACCCACTGAGAATGATTAAATTGAATGTTGAGAGAAAGAGCATTAGGGAATCTCCAAACCTTTTAAAGTAGCTTGCAGATTTTTTACCCTCTAAGAAAGGAACAGCAGCAGCCTGGATCTCTGGGGACATAGCACAGTTTAGTTTCACCAAAGCTCTTCCTAGAGTCTTTCTGTTGGCAATGCAGGCTCTGCATAGGGGAAGGATAAAACTCAGAGTGTCCTAAAGAGCACAGAGAGCTTTCAAGGCAGTGGCTTCTGTAGTGTCTGTGTTTCCACAGAGATTTAGTTTTTTGGCATTTGTTAACTTGCTTCAGGCAAAAATCCAGAATTTATTTGCCCCTTGAATCCAGCCTGCCTATAAAGCCTATGCATAGAAACCAGATCCAGAGCCTATTAGAACTTATGGAAAGCTTTGGATTAATCCTACTGCTGGCATGCAAAGGCAGCTGTAAAAAGTCTTGGATGTGGTTGTGTACATTTCTACTCCTTGGTGGTCCAAGGAAGCATCAATACCCTGGATTACCTTCCCCATGTGGCACAATACCGTGTAATCCTTAGGCTACCAAGTTGGCTGTGTTGTAGTTTAGTGTTGGAAAATCACTGGCTAGATTTTTCTTTCAGGCCAGTCACAGCTCAGTTAAAGAGCAGGGAGGCCATTAACATATGTAAATATACGTACCTTGGCTAGTTCAGGAAGTGCTCCTAGTGTTTTATATTCCTAACTGCTCTGTTGAGAAAAAATGGTAGATCTTGGAATTAACATGGTTTGTTCTGAAACCAAGACTGCAAATTGCAAGCAAACCAAAAGAACGCATTAAGTGAAATTATTAGAGATTAACAGAAAAAGAAGTTAACAATAAAATTTCCTTCCTGAATCTCTGCCCATGTTTTGTTGCCAAATGAAATATAAGTCCCCTAGTGCTTTGTAAGGTTTGTAGTTCTGGTGGTGTCAGGTATTGCATACCTTCTGTGAACTGTGTCCTGCCTCTCAAACAGATTAAGCACTTTGAATGAGCCCAATTCATCGTGTCATGCCATCCAGCAGAGAGCTGCTAGCACACACTTGCTTTGGGGAGCAAAAACATCACTTAAAAGTCTGTGCTAAATCTAGTGAATGGGTAGAGTGATGCACTCATGACTTATCTCCATAGTGACTATGGGTACGAGAGACACAGCAACAATCATTGTGTCCCAGCCTTCTGGTTCAGCCCGTCCTCCCTGTCCAAGGAGTGCAGCATGGGTCAGAGCTACTTGAACAGCACTGGGTAAGTGAAACTTGCAATCTCGCTGCAGTTTGGTGACCTTGCAGTAGACAAAAGAACCAGGATGGTTCTTTTTTGTCTGCATCCCATCTGGCTCTTTTCCAGTCTTATTCATGAAGTAATGTTTACAGCAGCATCTGTGTGGAGCATCACCTCATTCCTCAGAGACAGGGAGAAGCATATTAACATAAATGACATGTAGATACTGTATTGTTGTCAGGTGATGTATGATCCCTGAAGCATAGACTTGAAGCTCTCTTTTGCTGCAAAATTAAAGCAAATCAGGAAGGTCTATCTGAGAGACAGCTGAGCATTTAAAAGGACAAGTTTGAGATATTTCACACTGGTTTTTGTTGAACCTCTTTGTATCTTACAGCTCCTATTTATAGAAGCTTCCCTTCTGGGAAGGCTCAAATGGACAATTTTTAGCCTCTTTCCCCTTCTGCACCTCTGCCATTTTCACTTTGTATATAGAATGTTTTGTGATTTCAGACCAGCTACATGTGCTAGTTTCTCTTGGTTTTACCCAGAACCAATGGCAAGTGCTGGTTTATTATGGTAGTAGTGTTCTGCAAATGCTATTCCATTGTGAAGGTGGTACTCTGAAACTCTGGTTGCACTGGATGGTGTACAACGGAGATGTTCTTCGCAGGCAGTGCAGGCCCTGAAGACTTTGTAGGGCTGCTTCTGAGTCATGGGTCCTGCATGCTGTATTGTTATGACAGGGTTGTTTGTGGCTGGTGGATATGAGTGGCTGAATAAAGTGAGGCTGCTGACAGTCTGGAGTCACTCAACTTCAGAGACCCCCTTTCAGCTGAAGGTTTGCTATAAGTATGTGATATAATTACAGGAGCCCTGGCCAGTACAACTGATTGCAGCCTTGACAGAGAGCAAGAAGAAAGTAGCTGGGGTCTGTGTCTTCTTAACCAATCCTGTATTTTTACTGTGAAATTACCAGCAAGGGTTAATCCTCCTTATCAACATTGAGAATAGCCAAGTGTGTTGCTAGTTAGGTAACCTCCTCCAAGAAAAGTTGAGACAAAAACCCATTCATTGAACTGTTTAAAAATTAGACTGGACAAAGCTCTTGGCAGATCATTCCAAGTGCCTTTGAGCAGAGGCAGACTGCCTCATATAATCATATATATAATCATATATAATCAAAAGCGTAATTAAAAAACTGGAATGTAGGGTGCAGTCCTGAAGGCATGCGGAGTTGGAGGAGTTATCTGCCTTTTAGCAGTGCAGAGTAGTTCACTTCCACAATGTGTGTCTTTTCTCAGCTGTGCTGCTGAGAATCCGTGGAGGAGGTTGCATTGTGATTTGTTTGGCTTTTTCCAATTTAATAAAGCGGTAGGTTTCTTTGATTCTCCTTTTCAGTGAGGGAGTCGTGCAGGCAGTTAGCCTCTGAAAAAGCACATTAATTAATATTGAGAATCAAAACAAAAACAAAAGAAACTTTTCTGCCCACTGCCTAAGCCCAATCTCCTTTTGTTACTGTTCCCCAGGTACCGAAGGATTGTGTCTAACAACTGCACAGATGGCTTGCGAGAGAAGTACATGGCCAAGGTGGAGAAGTGCCCTGGAAAAGCACCTCGTGGACTGCACATCCTCACTACTGATGGAAAGTTGGTCACGGAGCAGGGACACAATGCCACCTTCATCATCCTTTTGGAAGAGGTACGTTAGTGGTCTCAGCAAACCTTTCACTGCATGGCAAGAAAGGCGTTCTTTCCCTTCACCTGTTAGGCTGCTGAGAGGAAAAGATCAGTCGGGTGGGGTCATGAAATAACCACACCTGAGGTTTAGGAAAATTAACGAAAGGGCTATAAGCAAAACATACAAAAAAACCCTATTGGGCCAAGCTAAAAGAGTACTTGGCTGGTTATCGTGTCTATCAGTGATGGTGAAGCCAACACTGAAGATAGATAGATCTGGTAAAAAATATACCTCTCCATTAGCTTCTTGCTGCCTCCAGTGAACTACAGTTTATGGAGTTTATGAGGCAGAAACGGTGTCTCTATGCTTAATAATTCTGTTCCTGGGATGAAAAGCTTTAGCTGAATCTTTGCTGGGAAAAGTTAAGAACAGCAGGAAATATTTTCAGCCTCATGGGGAGCAGCGAGGGACATAGTTGTTTTGCAGTAGTAATTGAGCCTCCTCAAACCACCTCTGAGCAGCCCAGCCTGTATCTATTTTATTTATTAATTGGTACGATTCTATCTGTAGCCAACAGTGGTGTAAGAGATACCAGGCCATGCTGGTGCCTGAAGCATCACAATATTGAGGCACTTCTGGTGATCTCTCTTGAGTCAGGTACCCCTCTGGGAAATATGTGCGGTGCAGCCTTGATCACCAAGGCTTGTGGCTCTGTGGATAGTTGGATAGTTGGAAGGCACTTGGTATATATTCAGGCTGACAGGAGGTGTTTTAAGTGTTTGTATGCCTCTTCTTGTATGTGATTTGATTTGGTGTTTAGGGATATATGTGACTGCACCCCAAAAAGCCCTGCTGTATTTGCAGCTGCTGCATTTCCCTGCTGGCTTCTGCCTGCCTGTGAAATGCGACATTGGAGGTCCAACAGTGATTTTCCCACTATATATTGCATTACATCTGTTTTCTGGTTAAACAAAACAGTCAATTTGCAGCATCACTTCTAACATCTTTTGGTGTCTCAGGAGAGACAGCCGGGGAGTGAGGTGGTGTTAGAGAACCACAAGTACATTTCGTCATCTACTCTGTCCTGTGTACTTCATTTTGGTTACAGTACCTGGAGACAGCTGGGAGCCAGCCATGTCATGGTCATGAGCATAGCAATAACACCAGCAAGGACAGACTGGATGGCTGTCTCCCCAGTATCCTCTGACAACAAGCAGTGTTAAGTCTCTGAGGAAAATATGCTAGAAGCATTGCAAGCCTTATGCCTCTTTTCCTCCCAGGCTCAGAAGTAGCCTCCATTGGCAACTTAGACCTTCAAGAACAAAAGAAGCTGTTGTAAATCTGAGCATCTCCCATGGAGACATTTTTCTCATGATACCTTGTTTTTTATTTATTTTTTTATTTTAAGACACACTCTTCTATTAATTTAAATTCTTACACAGTAACTGTTTCTTTGGGACCACACTAATCTGACAGGGCCTCTTTACATACTTCCTCAGAAGTTAATGCATGTTCTGCTTTTATACAAAGGGGGTTTCTTATCTACCTGGGTGATTCTTTTCTATTCTGCAGGCTTGACATGGTAAGATGATTTCTGTAGACAGTCTGAGTGGGAGTTCCAGAAAGAACAGACATAATCTAAAAGTTAGGAATCTAGTAGTAATTTATTAAGGAACTCAAGCGGAACTGCTGCATACAAAGAACGATAAACAGATGGAGAATAAGGCAGCAGTCAAGGTAGCTGAAGAGTGGAGTCTTTACAAGGCTTTAGAGATTGAAGAGGCAGCTGAAAATATATGTGAAGGTGTTCACTCCACGTCCTTTGTTGAAAAATAAGGAACGTTAGAAAAACATTTCATTGAAACAATTATTATTTTTTTTAAGGGAAGAGGATTTTCAAGAACATGTCTCTGTGGGTGAACAGCTTATTACACAGAGAGTTGTGTGTTAGGTTTGTTCCTTAAAAGAATAGATGTTTTTTTAAAGGAAAAAAGTAAAAGAACATTTGAGATTTTCACTGAAAGTATGGAACTGGCAGTGTTCAAGGCCAGGTTACTGGAGCAAGGCTTCCAAGTAAGGACAGGGCTTGGAATATTGTGGTATGGTTGAAGGTGTCTCTGCAGGGTGATTGGAACCCTATGACCTTTAAGGTCCCTTCCAACCCAAACCGTTCTACAATTCTATTATTCTGGCCAAAAGTATTCCAGTCTTCCAGTGTGAACTTGAGAAAAATGAAGTCATCAAAGTGACATTCTTCCTTGTTAGCTGGATGAAACAATTTCTGTAGAACTCTTGCTTATTACACACCTTGCTGTCATGCAGATTCATTCCTGGTTCCCTTCATTTTCTGTGGTCAGTTTGTTTCCTGGTTGGATGTTTTGCACCTATGTCTATGTTTGCTTTCTGAGCCAAACAGCAGTCTGACAAGTCTTCCTGTAGATAACATCCATGTGGTCTCCATTCAACCTTCCTGCTCAGCAATTTTGTGGTTTGCCACCAGTTCCTTTCTACCTTCTAGTATGCACCCTCAATATATTGTTGTGACTGACCTTTATGCTGTCCAAAAATAAATGAGGACTTTTTAGAGTTAATTGAAAACTTCTCAGGTTTTATAGATTTTGCTTTAGCAGTATTTTTCACAGTGATAATTCAGAATATGTGCATGAAAATGACAAACAAATGCACAATGACTGATGATTTTTAGTATGTTTTTAAATTATGGGGTTGAACTGTGATTTGGACTGTGATACATGCAGGCAGGAAAACTTTCCCAGACTAGTCTTTGATGGGGAGATGACTCTGAAGGGCTGTTCCATGGCAATCCACTCCACTACCCTTTGACTACTCACTGATTTCAGCACACAGAGCCCCAGTGTTTGAGACAACCCCTAGCTCATTCTGTTTTGATAGTTTATGGAGCTTAAAGCAATAAAATGTGCTTTTGAATATATATGGAGAATAATGTGTTTGGGGTTTGTTTTGTTTTGTTTGTTTTTTCTCTCCATTTGAAATGCCTCCATTTCTGTTTTAATTCATATTCATAAACTCCAGAATATCTGACATCATGTGTGGGGCTAGCAGACTTGGTTTAGTATTTTATATGCTGGATAAAGAGCTATGAAAAGGAGAAAGAAAATATGATTAGTGTGAAGGGATGGCTTTGTATTGAAGACCCAACTCATAATTGAGTTGAAAGATCATCTACTTACTGTTTAGTCACAAAATACCTGTCCTTGCTTCTCCACTTCATATCTTCTAATTTCAGGTATAATCATGTTGGAGAAGCAAGGAAGAAGTAGGAAAGAGAATTGTAAGGCGTGAGAAAGGAGCTGCCATGAAGGGTGCAAGAGATTTGAGCCTAAGGTCACCAGTGATGAATCCAGTGTAGATCATATTTTTATCCTCTGCTCAGTGTCTTCCATATGAGACTAAGACATTTTGTGGTCTTAGTACATTTCCTTGAGAAGTGGCTTTTGGTTATTAGTTTTAACAAGCTATGGGACCCTTTCTGCCAAATAACTGAATATAATAAGAGTATATAAGAATATATATGGGTATAATTTTGCCCTGATAGAGTGTTTTTTAGAGTGACTTAAAAAACTCTCAAAAGGATGTTATTATAGATGGTTTCAGAGTTTTTTTTGGTTTATACTGTACATTTAATGTTCTGGTAGGACAGAAGTGAAAACGGTGCCCTGATCAAGTCAATAGACAAAACTCTGCCTCCTGTGAAATGGGAATGATGGAGCAAGGAAGGAGGTAGATCTAAGGTATATAACCAAATATACGTATTTTTAAAACTACATGTGACAATTAAGTATATTGGTGTCTACCTGCAGACTTCAGCTATACACTTAAGGCAAATTCACATCTGAAAAAAACCCTTCCTACACATTTATTAATGCAGGCATAGCCTGTTAGGAAGATAAAGACTGGGGCCATGCTGTGGTCCAGATTATTTATGCAAGGGACATGCTTCAGTGTAGTCTGGCTTCTTGTCTATGCTCCCAGGTTTCCATCCAGAGGACAAGATCAAGTGCACTCTCAGAACTGGGACCAGTAATGAATGGAACACAGTGTCCTGCCTCTGTCAGTGCCACAGTTGCCATTTACTCAGGCTGATGGCAACTCGCAGTAAGACAGCAGCTCCCATGAATTTGAAGTCAGTGGGAGCTAAGAACTGGGACCCCTTGCCTTTTGTGGCTGTTTCTGTCTCTACAGGAGCCTTTGTTGTGCACTTTTGATCTCAGTTGCTGATCATTGGGTTAGATAACCTGTGAGCTGTTTAATTCTGATTAAAGGACCTCTTTTTCCACGGTCAATATTCTGCCTTTATCCTGACTCTCCTGGGATGATAAGTCATGATGGATCAAATCAAATGGATCTGTGGTGTGTGTGAATGTGTTCAGACCAAATGGAAAATCACTCATGGATGTGAGGTTCATAGTCAGAATTTAGGCTGCAAGCCAAGTGTTTTGCCACACACAGGTAAACTTGAAAACTACTGCCCAGAGGAAACCTGGTGCTCTTGGGTATAAACTGTTAGGGACTGCCAAAATGTGGTTATCCAGGCATTATTTTCCCTTTGTCTGATCTGCTCAGTTTTTCTAGGAAGTCATGGTTTGTTTTGTGCAATACAAGGCCCAGAGTCTTTAGTGAAATCTAGGAGTTCAATCATCTTCTCTAGTCAGCCCAGGACCCTGTAGGATTTGAGCTGGCAGTGAAGGAATTGGAGGTACGTAAGAACTGCAGAACTGGTTCTTGTTTATATGGTTACTTAAATCAGTATGCACTGGAACTGCACATTAGCTTTGTTCCTGACTGTGCATTTACAGCTATAACAGGGTTTATGAGATGACCATGAAATATTTCTGAATTTTGTATTTAAAAAGCAAAAAAACCCCAAAGCTAAATTAAGGAGCAGGGATTTTTTTTGTTTGTTTATTGGTTTATGGTTTGGTTTTGGGTTTGTGTTGTTTGTTTGTTGTTTTTTTTTTATTTTTTTATTTTGGAATCCCACTTTTATCCTAAATATATCTAGGGATTGGTTTCAGTTTTGGGCTGGGAGCATCTCCAAAAGTTAGTATCTTCTTCACCCATAGTGAATATAGTGGAGACTTTTCATGAAAGGAAATTACTTGGGCCAGCACATCTTATATATATGTAGAAAGCTACAGAGATTTAATCTGAGAAGTAGTTTTATTTCAGTTTAGTGAAATCACTGAAGTGGGGTTTAGCTGTGTTTAAATTAGCCTTTTTTGTGTTACTTTTAGTCAGCTGGGAACAAGTATAAAGTAAGGCTCCAAGAAACTGAAATAACAGACACTTCTACAGTTCACGTATAGTGCTCTAACGCATGATTTAAATTAAAACAGTGCAGCTGCTGCCTCTAGACAATATCTGCAATGCTAGAATCTCTTGTCTGCTGTTCCCTCCTTCATTTAATAGATGTCACTGACAGTAATCCTAGAAGGGATTTTTCTCATCATCTACTTCATTCTCATGTGTATCCAGGCCCTATCTTTGTAGTGACTGACATTAGACAAAAACTGACAGTCCTCAGTGTGGGACTCAACCTGTATAAATTCAGCCACCCTGAAGTTACACGTCTGGCTGAAGCTAGTCATCTAGACTCTCTATCATCAGGGTACAGGGATGGATATTTGCAGAAGAGGGTTCATGTTACCTGTCTCAGTTATCTTTGGTTTCTCTGTTGCTGTTTTTATTTCTCTCTCTTTTACTGACTGTATAGGAAGCCTGTAAAACTGCCTTAAACTATCTTCAACCACTGTCCTGTATCCAGAATATTCCTGATGCTCCCCCATGCACATTGGAATTACTCTGTAGTTAGCATCTGGCCTACCATCAGTGTGGTACCTCCCACCTCTCTGCCTCTGGTGGACGTATTTGCTGGACACCACCTGCTCAATGAAAGGCTGTGCAAAGCCCTGGCCACCTCAGTGACACATAATCCTCAACCATGCATTGCATGAGATGATTCAGATATGGTCCCCTTGATACATGCACAATTAACAATCTGCCCTCTCAAAATCTCTAAACCCAAGATGGGGAGATAACATCTCTTTACAGGTGTAATATTCAGCTATTCTAAGCATTGCTTGTATATAATTAGCTGGTTTTGATTTAAGTCTGGCCAACTTGGGGACTGACAGAACAAAGCTAGGCATTTTTGGGTAAAGTTACAAGTTTGCGTGTATGCTAATGAAATGGAACTGAGAAGTGGGATGGAGAGTAATATAAATCACTCTTATCAGCCCAGTTTCCTAATCCAACCTTCTCTGTTGCAGGGTGATCCCCAAAGGACAAATATTCAGCTTGATTTTGGAGATGGCATTGCAGTATCCTATGCTAATTTCAGCCCTGTTGAGGATGGCATTCGGCATGTCTATAAGAGCGCTGGAATCTTTCAGGTGATGGCATATGCAGAGAACAGCCTGGGCTCTGACACTGCTGTCCTCTTCCTGCATGTGGTCTGTAAGTATTTCCAGCTGCTAGATTCCTTGAGTGAAAACATGACCTTACTGAAAATCCTGCAACTTCAGTGGGGCCTAAGAATAAATGCAAATCCACCTACATATGCAGCTTGTGCTTGTCCAGAGGCTTGGACTTTTAAATACCTTTATCTTGTTAAGTTTACTTTATTGAATGAAGAGAGGAAGGGGAGTTTATTTTAACACATTTGCAGTCCTCACAGAGAAAGGTTTGGAAACGTTTCTCAGGGTTTTCTGAAAGGGTTAGAGATCAAAAAATGTCTGAAACAAAGTCCAAATGTGTGTTTTGAATACAATTCTAATACCAAGAGGTTTGGGTTAATCTTGAGTCAGTTATTCTGGATTTGGGACTTCACAGTGCTCATTAAAGAAAAGCATTATGCTGAGCATACTTCCTGGGATATGAATGTACCGAGGGCTGATGAGCTACTTTTCATATTTCATGTGAGTGGCATACATCCCTTTTCCCTCCTGTTTGGTAGATCAGTCCAATTTCCCTCCACTTGTCACATGAGTAGACTTGGATATAGAGCCCTGATCTGGCTCCTCAAAGGCACAGAAGAGAACAGAGGGTGTGGAATGCAGGATGAGACCAGGAAGATCCCAGTTCTTTGTCCTGCTCTCAGACTACTAGATTTCCTGCGCAGAGAGCTCTTATTGTGTTTATATGTACCTCAATGGTTTTGCCCCTAATGGTATTCACAGCCAGGTCTGTGTTCCCCCTTAGTCTGTCAGCGCCTTCTAGCTCATCTATCGTTTGTGTTTTTCTGCTGGAAAGAAGCAAGTCAGAAATTTCCAAAACCCAAGAACCATTTTCTTCTTTTTAATTTCAGGCTCCCTGTGTGAAGGAATCAATGTTCCTTGAAGCTTTTATTATGCTCATAATTCCCTCAAAGTCAATCATGGCTGCATTTAACAACCTGTTATTAGAGCATTAACTGTTTTTTCATTCACCTTGGGCCATTAGCTGACAAAAGTGATGGTTACCTGGTAATAACAACCAGCTTTGTATGGATTATCTGATTTTTCTCACAGGAACTGCTTTTTCATGGTGAGGGTTTTAGAACAAAATGCAACAAGGGCCTGGTTGTGCTACTCTACCCTTTTCTTCCTCAGCCTCTCAAATGTCTCCTTTGAATTTTATAGCATTCTTAGGTGGCCAACTTATTAACATTATCTCCAAGGAAGCATTTACGTTCATGCTAACAATGAAATAAAATGATACATCGTTACTCAACTTTTAATATATTTGGATTTGCATGTCAATATAGAAGGTTTGACCTTGAATCTCAAGTGTACAAACAAAAATGCCTGCTATATAAATTGCCCATTATACAATCTGTCTGGTGCTGGAATCCTGTGCTAAAAAAAACAGGAAGAAAGAAGGTCATTGGCTTTAAGCAACACTAGTTTTCTACCCTGCACATTTATTAGTGGTCAGTCAACATTTCACCTTCTGCTGTCAAGATGCTCATCTCTTCATTTAGAGGAAATAAAAGATGTTAGTGGTTCTCCTCTTACATGCACTGCCACAAAGTATCTGGGGGAATCTGATGTTCTTGGGAACCCAGGGTACTGTTATGAGCAGAGCTCAGGAGCGGCTTGTTGGTAGAGACCCCTTGGGAAGGGGCCTGGGGAAAGAAGTTTTAAGGAGCCAGAAGCAAGAATAGATGCCCAGTCTACTTGGAGCTGTATATTCTGGCTGTAAAAGAACAGCTCTTGGTCTCCAGAATCCTTGTAATACCGAGTAAATGGAGAAGTGATTAATGTCTCTATTTTGTGCTTGAAGAACTGAGGGGTAACACAAGAAGATCATCTCAGCTAAAACCAGCAAATTTCCTGCTTCCAAGAATTAATGTTTTATTAAAAAAAAAAAGAAAATAAAATCTCACTTCTTTTTGTTTTACCCTTTCCTTCTCACAGTGATAGTCTAGTTGTGTTTTAAAGTGACAGTATTGCTGTGTTTTAAAAGGTAGCATCCAGAAAGACCCCGTAATGCTGATTTATGCATAGCTGTTATCAACTGAAATTTAGTACCAGTAAAACCAAAAATTTAAATGAGAAATAAAACAGTGTAGATAGTAAAATCTTTAAACAAACTAGTAAACAAAACCTCACTGTTTTTTACGCTTTTTTTTTTTTTTCTGGTGACGAACTAACTTCTTAATTCTGGACTCCTTTCATGCGACTCATTCTGGACATTTGCATTTGTTAGACACAATTTGACATTGAAACTGCAGTATTTTATAAGTCTTTTGGGTAAACAAACTTTTGATATTTAAGCTCTTTGATATGCCAATGGACACATCTTTCAAATAGTTCATGACTTTTTGCTAATGGCAACTGACTGCTCAAAGACTTCTCAAGATCAGGCCAAAGTCACAAAGATACCCAGGTTTACCAAAATCATGGATCTTTCTTTTGGAAAAAAATAAAAAAAGAAGTCATAGTGTATTTAATCAAATCATAAATGCCTCATATATAATCAGATATGAGCCACCTTGGATCAAATTATTTTCCCACAAATTTTGGTTAGCTCAGTAGATACATTGTCAAGAAAACACCTTCTTCCTCTCTCATGTCCTATCCCTCAGGCGTTCAATAGCAGCTTGCCCTATCTAGTGCAAAGCCAGTTTGTTGTTCTCCCTCAAACTGAATTTGAAAAATTTGTGCTGACCTTGTCTGAAATTAGCACTGTGAAAAATGCATTCCTGGCTTTGCCAGAATTAAGAGTGAGAAAAACATTGTATGCTTACCAGAAGTAATCTGGTATCATTTTCTGTTGCTTATTGACTGCTGAAATTCTCTTGTATTGCTGTAATAGAGTCTCACAGCTGACAATAGGCATTTGATTTATTTAAAGGAAAGATCCTTGCTGTTCAGGATTGAGCAGGGAGGATTTAACTCAAAGCCCCTAATAATAAAGTCTCTCTTCCCACAGGTCCAGTGGAGCATGTCCAACTGAGTGTTCCCTTTGTTGCCATCAGAAATAAGGATGTCAACGTTACTGCAGTAGTTTGGCCCAGCCAGGCAGGCACACTTACCTACTTCTGGTGGTTTGGTAACAGCACCAAGGTACAGATGCTTTTTAGTTCATTTTTACTTTCTAAGCTGGTTGCACCAGACAGGAAACATTCTCAGATCTAATAAAAAGTCCCTGCTTTTTCTTGGTTTGTGTTTTAGTTTTATTCCTCACCTAAAAAGGGTTGTCATAATCTGAACTTCAACCTTTGTGAGTTTATTTCCTCCTGTCTTGTGTTGGTTTTAGGAGTCATTACGTTTTTACATCTGGTTGTTATCAGCCCTACTGAGCTTTAAAGACCACTGTTATTACCAGTGCTCACTTACAACTTAACTGAATTATATACCACTATATATGGATAATACTGGCTTTCAACACGGTATTTAAAAACTGTTGGTGTTCAAATAACCAGGGGGGTTTCCATTATGTACCAGTATGCAGTATATAATGCTGGATTCCAAGACAATACTTTAAAACTGTTGGTGTTCAAATAACCGCTTGTATCTAGGATTTGAAACTAGACTCTCAATTAATTGTTTGTGTCCACCTGTGACTACTGTCTATTGCTTATTTGCTAAAGTTTTTACTGTAGGCTTCCTAGAATGAAACAGCTGACACAGGCACTGTCCTCCATTATTACAGCTGTGAAATGTACAGCTGATAATTGTGAAATGTAGTATCTGCTGTTATTTAGAAAAGCAGTTTAGGTCACATCATTGTCTACATTATGGAACTGAAATTGAAGGTGTGCACTGAGGTGAGATCACAGTAGAAAAAATGAGGATTTTACATGAAATATGAAACTTGAGATAAAAAAATAGGAGGCACACAAGTATTTTATTTTCTCTTTGACATAGCTGTTTGCATTTTAACCTCTTACCCTAGCTACCAACAGTAGCAGGAAAAAAAACCCAACAACAGTAAATGCTTTATCTACTGGGATTTAACATCAAATTAGGAGCTTACTGTAAGAGCTCACCTATTTTTGTGATTATGAGAACTCACAGTATCACAGTATCACAGTAGGTTAGAGATTGGAAGGGACCTCAAAAGATCATCTAGTCCAATCCCCCTGCCGGAGCAGGAACACCTAGATAAGGTTACACAGGAACGTGTCCAGGCGGGTCTTGAATGTCTCCAAAGAAGGAGATTCCACAACCTCCCTGGGCAGCCTGTTCCAGTGTTCCGTCACCCTCACTGAAAGAAGTTTCTTCTCAGGTTTAAGTGGAACCTCTTGTGCTCCAATTGTATCCATTACCCCTTGTCCTTCATTGTTTGCCACTGAGAAGAGCCTGGCTCCATCCTTGACACTCCCCCTTTATATATTTATATACACTAATAAGTCACCCCTCAATCTCCTCTTCTCCAAACTGTAGAGACCCAGCTCCCTCAGTCTTTCCTCATAAGGGAGATGCTCCACTCCCTTAATCATCTTAGTTGCCCTGCGCTGGACTCTCTCCAGCAGGTCCCTGTCCTTTTTAAACTGAGGGCCCCAGAACTGGACACAATATTCCAGATGAGGTCTCACCAGGGCATTAACTCATAATTGAGTTACTGAAAGAGCTCAAGAGCAATAACTTGGAAAGTTGCTGTGCCCTGAGATACGGCAAATATGCGCATACACACATATGTGACACTTGTCACATACCATGACAAGTACTAGTCCATGGCAAGTATCAGGTAATGACACATAGTTTATACTGCACTGAAACAGAGGGATGCAAAGTCATATTACAGTTCAGATATTTTTGGCTCACTACACACACGTTGACAGCCATTAAAGTACATTTGAAACAATTTAGGTACTGGTAACTTGATCATCTGCTTAAGCCCTCCAGTGTGTCTCAGGTGGCAGAGTTTTCCTGCTATTGTTTTTGTCCTTCATATAGGATTTGATTGTGAATGCAACCTTAAAAAAGATTTTTTGAAATAAAAAGCAATCTAGAAACGGTAGAGCAAAGCAGTGGTGTTTTTGAAGATTTCCATGCAGCTCCCATGGTGCTTGTAATTGGGTTCTAAATATGATCAGTTATCTGTTTTATCTTCTAGCTTAAATTTCAGGCTACTGAGTGCTAACAGATAAGGGTGCTTTGGACATAGTTGTATGTGGAGTAGCTGATCCTTATGATACCTAGGGGCAATTGTATGTGTTGCTGAAATATGTTGAGGTGTGGATTAATAAAGATAGTGCACTTACCTGTGGCCAAATCAAAGACCCAGAGCACCTTTCATTCCTTGCAAAGCATTATCTCCTGCTACCTCATGACATGTACTTAAACTTCAGCTCTGACAGAAATATGGCAAAGGATATAAACATAAAAGCAGCAGGAACCTTTTTTTTTTCAGGACATGAATTTGCATCACATCAAAATTCCTTTCAAGAGGTTTAATGTACATGTCAGATTCTTCTGTGTGCCCACTCATAGGCAGACTGTGGAGCTCAAAGTACACGTGAACGCTGATTTGTGTATGAATTAAAGGATGAGGTGTGTAACATTGTGCATAGTGGTTGGTATGAAGTGACACATTCTAGTTCCATGCTGAGGAATTGCAGCTTCTTTTCCTGTTCAGCCCATAGGCATCCCAGACAGAACCAGATGTGTCTTGTGTCACTGTGCAGCTCACTAAGGTACTATGTGCTGCTGCACAGGCAAATGTTGTCTTAGACTCAGATGACCTGGCTGAGGCTCTTCTGCTGTCCTCCCCAACCTGCTGGAACCATTGTACTGAATTTTGACTCTGCTAATTTTTGCAGTATACCCAAAGGCAAATTCGGTTGCATTAACACAGGTCCAGTTTAATAAATGTGCCCAGCTGTCTAATAGGTTTGAGTAAATGAACCTTAAACAACTTGATTTAATTTAGAGTTAGTTTTCACGTTTGGTTCTTGAATTAAAATTAAGGAGTTGGCTGAATGTTGAAACTCCATGATGGAGGTGAAATCATCCATGATAATGGAATGTCCAGCATACACACATTCAAAAAGGCAAAATTGTCATTTTAAAGGCCAGACTGGTTCCTCTTATGTGCTTTTGCACAGAATCACATGCTGTAACCTCCAGGAAGATTCCTAATACCACTGCAGCTTGATACAGGCCCGTTCTGCTCATGCAGGATGGGTGTATATCTCAGTATGCATTAGCTTGTTCTCCAGGGCTAGCACACACTGTCACCCTTGCCAGCTTGGTCTGTGGGTCCCATATGATCAAACAGGTTTTGTTCGGGTTTTCTCTTTTCCTACTGCTTTTTCAGCTCAGGGATGAGGGGATCAAAGGTGTCTGGACAAGTTCCTGTGATGTACACTAGGTTACCCTGCTCTTGCAGGGGGGCTGGACTAGATGATCTTTTAAGGTCCCTTCCAACCCTTGTGATTCTGTGTGATTCTGCAGGGAGGGAAATGTGTTTGCCAGTCTGGCCTGTGCCAGTGGAAATTTTGGTTTGGCTATGAAAATGCTGTATATGGCCCCTGTTGTGAAGCACAGGCAGGTGGGCAGTCTATTGGATGAAATGTGAGAGTTGGAAAGTGAACGTTTAGGGGTTTCCTCTGGAAACAAACTGGCAGTGTAGTGAAGGGACAATAGCAATGTCCCATAGAATGGCTTCATCTGTGCTCTTAGACCTCAGTGTGCTTTTTCAATGGAAGCTAGTATCACTATTTCCATTTTAACGGTTTAATCTAAACCAAGAGATTTGTCTATAGACCAGCTGTCAGATCAATGGCACTGCAAAGGTCTGCACCTTTGATTTTCAGTTGTGGTGGGTTGACCCTGGTTGAATGCCAGGTGCTCACCAAAGCGGCTCTATCACTGCCATGCTCAGCTGGAGAGGGAAGAGAATATACAACAAAAGGCTCATTTACAGATTGAGATAAGAACAGGGAGAGATCACTCACCAATTACCATCACAGGCAAAACAGACTCAGATTGTCACAGAAACAGCTAAAACCTTGCCACACAAACCCAGTACCTCTATACGCAAATCTCTTTTTCTGAACATGGTGCACTTTTCCCATTTAGATATGTATCAGTGTGAGAGTTTCCTGTGTAAAGAGGAGACCTGTAATGCTATCAAGGATGGTTTTGTTCAGAGAGATGGAGATAAAGTGAGCTCTCTGTGCCAGGCCTCTGAGTTAGCTAAATTCAGGTCAACCATTCAGCAATATTCAGACAGTATTGTCAGGAGGTGTTAAGCCATGTTTCCAGCCTTGTTAATATGAGTTTACAACTTATGGTTGGAGCTATCTTACATGCGCAAAGCATGAATGGGGCAATGCTGGGTGCCCTCACCCTGACCTGAGTAGAGCTGCTTTCAGGTAGGTGAACAGGTTTGTGCTCATAAAAGCAAGGGCTGGCCCTGAATCTGAACAGTACAGATTGTTTGAAGAAGTGTCTGCATCTTTAGTTTATGTTCAGTGCTGGTTTGAGCTGGATCGTGTGTTTTGTGCAGCTGATACAGCAACTGTGATGAGTGTGCGTATATATGTGTGTGTACAACACTTGTTTCCTGCAGCACTAAATCCGCAGCTGCTGACTGTGCTCTACTGAGGTATTCATAGCATAATGGGTTGCAGTTCAGTGGAAGAATATTTCAGGAAGCATCTACTGAAGTGAAAGAAACCTTTGCCTATGGGTCAGGCAGTTCTCACTGGGTAGTGTTTGGGCCGCAGTTAGGACAGCGGAACACACAAGCCTAAGGCACCATTCCTGTATCAGGGAGGAAGGTTGTCGTGGCTTGGTGGATTAGTCAGGTGCATGTTGTGATCCCAAGTTAATCTCATCCTGATTTTGATATTACCATCTGTATTTTAACCTCTTGCAGCCCCTCATCACCTTGGAGAGCAGCATCTCATACATCTTCACTGTGGAGGGGATGAACACTGTCACTGTGCAAGTTGCTGCAGGCAACACCCTCATCCAAGACACCAAGGAGATCGCAGTGCATGGTACTCTCAGCCTTTTCCAATCGAATCTCAGGGGGGTAATCTAAAGGTGAAGAACAGGTAGTCAGTCGCTGTTGAACCAAAATGAATTGTCTGAACTCCAGTGCCTGAAGGAACCTTTGAAGACAAACTGTAAACAAAGTAGCTCAAATATGTTCTGATCACGAAACACAGAAGTGAATTGTATGGGGCAAGTAGCCAAATTTGTACGCTCAGCACTGTAGTAAAGTAGCTGATGTCTCCTTTGTCTGTCAGTGTGTTGGTACACACTGACTGGGAACTCCTAAAACAAAAAAAACCACTCTGGAGTTTTAGACAGACTGCCTTCCTTCTGCTTCCTAGGTGTGGAAAATAGTGGAACATTAAGGTAGCCTCAATACAGCTGGTGTATCTCTTTACACCAGTAAAGAGTGACTGTATAGAACACCAAGGGTCTGGAAATCAGGGGGCAGAAATTACTTTGTTGTTGGTATCTCTGCTCATCTTCCATGGCACAGCTGGAGGTCTGACTGTCCACTGGACTTTCCTGTGGGTAATGTTTGGTATGTTCTTGAATATCTGTATGTCATGGGTCCAAAAAAAGCACCCTTTGTCAGACCACAGGGCTTACCCAGTTTAGGGCTTAATAAAGACTGAGTGGAAGAGCTCTCTCAAGGACTTTGAGATTTCTCCAGAGAATAATTTTCACCCTGGGCTAGTCTTCATTTTCCTTTTCCAGTTATTGGCATCCAGCATTTGAGGGCAAGCTTTTCTTTGGATAGCAGGCTTTCTTGAGAGACCTGGGCTTCAAATAACTCAAGTTGTGCTGTGTAGTTGAACTATCTGTGTCTGGTTTCAGTAATTAAATAAATGTCCTTCTGGTGTCTGGAAAGCTGTATGCTCAGATTTAACAACCAGCTAAATAGATATTTATTGATTGCCTGGCTGTGAAATGCAGTGGGGGTTTAATAATTTGGTAATATGACTTAGTAATACCGAAACTCGCTATTATCAAATGTAAGTAGCCCTCTACTTGATCATTTTGAGCATTGCAAATTCGGTGTTTACTTCTGGGAAACTTGCATCTTTCCACTAGTTTCTGGAATAAACCTTAATCAAGAGTATATGAGGAGCATCACCACAGGTGATCAATGGCAGGTCCCAGTAGGTCCCACAGAGCACTCCTCACTTTGTGTTTTTAAACGTTTTTTTTAAGAAATTTTGCCATTCTACTTAAAAGAAACAAAGTTTTAGGCTTTTTCACAATGAGAAATTAATCCAGTTGGAATGTCCAAGTAGTCCTGTACAGCATCATGCTGTAGATTGACCTGGTCTAAGAAAGGAGTCCTCCTGGATCTCCAGCGATAGTCACATCAAGTCTGAGTATGTAAACGAGTGACACCCTTGGTAAACTTGCACTCTACTAAATTGGAATACTCATCTTTGTCCGGTGTTGAGTTACTATGGCTCTATGCAGGAAGGCATGACTTTCTGGTGTTAACAGTGGAAGAGATTTATTCAGAGGCTTCTCATATTGTGATTAACAGAACAGAATTTGCTCAAAACATAAATTGGACATGGTACAGAGGGTTCAAAAGTCAAAGGCATTATATCAGGTTCTGGGTTAAGCCTTCAAAACTTGAGAAAGTTTCCCTTCTGTCCTTGATTTTTATTTAAAAATATATTGCACAATCTAACAAGAAAGAACAGATTTTGCAGAAGATGCAACATAAATGCTGTGCTACAACATCCCTGCTAGTCTGTGGATTTCTGCTTTAATATTCTTGCTGGTTTCTCTGGATCTAAAACTGGTACCTTCTTACAAATAGTTAATGGTACTTAATCGAAGTGTCTGGAGATCAGGTGCTTCAAGGGGAGGCACAGCACATCTCCAAGAAAGGAGAGAACTTGTATCGGAGTGTGATTCCTAGCCTGGATCTGTGTCACTGGCTGGCCCAAATCCGTTGTGCACAGTTGTTGTAAGGATTCCAGATGTCTTGGTCTTTGGTGACCCCAGAGGGGAGAGTTGGAATTGGAAAAAAAAATAAATTGTTCTGTATTTTAAGTCTACGAAGTTTTTCTTCCTCCCTGCAATCAGTCAATTAGGAAGTAATTTCAAAGTGTTTCATGAATAGCCATTGCTTGATTAGCCAGTCATTAGCACCACTGGGTTCTGATTTATTGAGGTATTAACCACTCATGGCTTCCCTCTAGGAGTGCAAGCAGATAACACCTGCTTTTGAAAACATTACTTACAGTAAGTGTTTGCTCTGCAGAGCACAGTGCATGCAATTGCACAGACCTTCCGGATTTCAGCCAGATGCTGTCTTTTTTACTGATCAACATCCTCGTAAGCAGTATCTGATGAAGTTGAGTGGCAAAGTTACAAAGCCCAGAGACACTGTGAAGGGAAGGCATCCTCTCATTTTTGCTTCGGTTTCCTGTTGGAAATGCTGCAAATTGGCACTAGGGCAGAATGTCCTTTATAAGAACTTTTACAAAAATTCTTTTCTTGCAAGGTTTACGTCCTGCTTAGTGTTAGCTAGCCCCTTCTTCTTCTTTCAGCCTTTGCTCTCTCTCTTGTTTCAAGATAATGTAATTATTGTCTTCCTGTTGTCTTCTGCACCTTTGGCTGTATCTTGAACACTGCCCATTTAATCTTCCCATAAATACTGTTTTTCTATTCCAGAGTATTTCCAATCTCAGCTCCTGTCATTTTCTCCCAACTTGGACTACCATAACCCTGACATCCCTGAATGGAGACAAGACATTGGCAAAGTCATCAAGAGAGCTCTAGCACAGGTGAGCATCTGTTTCCTTATCTGTAATAATATTGAGTAGGCTGTTAACATATGCAGTTTTCCAACATGCTAGCTTACAAGAACGGGAAAGAACAGTCATAATGAAGCTATCATTCTAAATCGATAAAAAGCTTCTTAATATTCTGGATCTTTTTGCAGAGGCAAACTATACTGGGAAATTTGTGGAAATATTATAATTGCTTTTATTAATGTTTCTGTGGTGCTTTTTAGCTTATAATACCCCTGAGGACTTTACAAATCCTAGATTGTAATAGTATCATTATTCTTATTTTGCGAAATTGGTATCACAGTATCTACTGTTATCTGCTCCAAACATTTGGGTAGTGTTACTGTGTGTTGCTAAACAGCTGATCCAGTTCATCCCAAAAGACAGACACTGTAGTATGCTGTATGCATGAGGAAGATATTTTTACCTCTTCCTAATAGTCAGGAGTTTCACATGCATCTAAGTGTAGCAACTACTGAACGTTATAAAGCACTACTCCCTTTCCAACTGGGTTAAAAAGGAGGATTCAGAGGGAAAATAAACTTACCTTTAAAATACATGACAAAGAAAGGCTTCTGTGGGTGTAAGATACTGAATCTTCCTTTGGGATTAATTAGAATATGTAAACCAGCACTCGTATTCTTGCAGGAAAGGAGACAGAATAATTTATGATATCAAATAGCCAGGGACTTTGGTTTTGTGTAGAATCAGGAGATAGATTTAGGCAAGCTTTTGTGTTTTTTTACATTCTGCCAAAACTGTATCTTGCTTTTCTTTTTCTTTTTTTTTTTTTTTCCTTCAGCTACAGCTGTTCTTAGAAATGGAGGCTGATTAATTTTACTAGGAAAGTACGTTCCTGCTCAGCTTTTCTCATCTGCAGCCCACTCAGAATTCACAGCCTATAAGAGCTTCCTTGATTGTTTTCTCATCCTGAGAAAACACGAAGTCCATTTGTTTAAACTGTTGTTCTCTTTTACTGTATTCAGAGTCAAGCTTGCAGAAAAAAAATAAATTAATTAGATTGGAACTATGCATGGTTACAGACAGCAGAAGAAACCCTGTAGAAGTGCTTGCTTGTATGTATATCCCTTTGTGACTGTTTCGGTACAGCCTGTGGTCTGTGCTTATAGGATGGATCACCAAGAATGGGCTGTCCCTTTGATACATTTTAGTTCAGGGATGCAGCCAAGGAGCTTGAGGTGGATAGGACCCAGGAAGCTAATGGGGTTAGCCTCATAAAGCAAGAGTTCCTGAGGGAGGAGAGTCTTCCTACCCTACTGAAAATGCACAGTTTGGATTTGGGGACAGAGGCTGTGACCTCAGTGGGTAGCACATGGTAAGACAGTTGTGAGAGTCAGGTGTGGAACTGACTCTTGGTTCAGCAAACTGAGCAGTTTCTAACCCAGCCCTCCCAATCAGCCCCAGTAGTAAAACGTCTCCTACTGGAGTCATAAAGTTATTCATGTATGGCAAATGTGGATCCCCATAATCTGATATTAGAAGCTTATTGTAGCCATTTTTTTTCATATGTCCCTGTTAGTTGCACACGTAGCAGTGGTCATGCTGAGCCAGACTCTCTAGATCTGACACTGGGTAATTCTTTTGTAGCAAGATGGGCTATATGGAAAATTTAGATCTGCAGACATGGCAGGTTTGAACTTTGTGTTGAGATCTTTGGATTCAGGTGTGTTGTCAAGACTACATTTGCTTGTATAAGTGGAGTGAATCAGTAGCCAAACCTCTATTTCTAACTCATCAAATGGTCACAACAGCTCATTAGGACAACAGCACCTGCAATGGAACTGGTAAATAACAATTTGATGCAAAAGTGTTACCTGTAGTGAATGGAAATGTGAATAACAGAAACAGCTAGAGACGTCCTTTTAACTTTTCTTTTAGGTGACTGGTATCCCTGATGAACAGATCTTGGTAGCTGTATTTCCTGGGCTGCCTACTTCTGCTGAACTTTTCATACTGCCCCATAAAAACACAACAGAGAGGAGGAAAAGCAGTGAGGCTGATCTGGAACAAGTAAGGAAAGAAGGATTCATGGAACATTCATAGCATTTGGAGATGGGCTACTTAACTTGTGCAGTACTGGAAATTGCTTACAATAAGCACAATGGAATTGGAATCATCTGGAACTGTGGCAGTATAGTTTATGGCATTAAAAAAAAAAAAAAAGGCTTTTCTGATACCTCACTGAGATATGTCACAGTCTACCAGCAGTGGTTCTTCTTAGATATTTAGTGTGTCCTTTAGAAAGTAGTTATGGCCAAAGGAACCTTTAATACGTACTCCCTCTACTCCCTGAAAGAATGCTAATAGACAGAGGCCAAAGCAGCAAGGTAATATACTGAGGTTTACTAAAAATACATGAAACTCTTCAGCTCGTATATCACTGGAACAAGACCTTTTTTTCTGCAGCAGAGAATAGCGTGTGCAAACTATATTTGGAAGTTACAATATCCATCCACTTAGATAAATAGGTAATTACAGTGATGAATAGCAACAGTGATATGCAGGCAAGGGAAGAGCTAGGAACAACAGCACTAGTCTGCCGAAGCTTTCACAGTAGAATTACCAAGTGATTAAATCAGCTCTTATAAAGGCAAAGGAGTGAAGTACTGCTGGAAAGGCTGCTTAGCTTTAGCTAATGTTCTTGTATGCGGCATTTTTACTGGATGCAAGCTATGTGTGAGCCCATCTTGAAGTAACTGTTGGAGGAGTAACTCTTCTGTGATTAAACATGAAATAATTCAGAGGACTGCTGAATTCTGTAGAAGCTCTTGCCACCCACTGAGCAAAGTCAGTGACCTCAGTGTACTACGTTTGTTCTAGGAAGCTAGCAAAGCTGGCCTCTTCAATTTATGGTGGTGAGTGTGCGTAAGAAGGGCATTGTGGTGGGAAGGTTTGCAAGGCTTTTTGAGGGATTTTCTTGGAGTCATTTCTGTCCTGTTCAGTAAGATCTGCCCATATTAAAATCCACTCCAAACAAGCTGTTTTGCCAATATTTCATATATCAGTATTATACAGACAACTTAGATTGGGTTTCTGACTAGCTGACAATGAGGCCTGAAGCTCTAGTGCTCTAATTTTGACAGTGTGCTCAGTTGTACTTTGGCACCTGGTTTTGGCTTCCAGTTGAGGAGCTCTGCCCTGGATTACAATCCAGGTTCCTTTGGCCATCAGAACTACTCAGTAGCTGTGCCCTGACGATTGGAACTACTCTAGGGAAACTGGGCATTAACAAACTCAGGCTCCAGTGTGATATGCCAGGTATGTGCTCTGAGGCAACCAAATAGCACAGCTGAGTTGCTGAGCCATGGATAAACCTAGTCCAAGGCCCCTCTTCTAAATGAAGGAAAGATATGCAAGGTTGCTATTAATCATCAAAACTGTATTGTTTCATCCCCAACAGCCTATTTGAGTAAAGAAATGTTATTAGGCTGGATCACCTAAATCAATTCCATCATCCACCAATAAAAGGCAAGTATATAAGTGATTTCAAAGTGTATTAGATCAAACTCACAGGGCATTGTGGAGGGTGAAAAGGTCTTTAGTTCTTTTTACTCCTCTTTTACCCCCTCAATATAGGGAAAAAAAATGCTAACTTTTCTTGGTTTCCTTCTCAGGAGAAGTAGAATGATGCAGTGTGTGAGTCTCAAAAGTTCTGTAAGGGAGATTTGCATGCAGTAGGACTCAATTCTATCTAAAGCACATGTACATGGTTTTCTCCACCCTCATTCTCTCGCTTCCCTTTTCTTTTTGAAGCCAGTAAGAGGTGTTAGTCACCATTCTTAGGCTACCTGCATTTCTGAATGTTCTTCAGAAATTGTTGTTTCTATATTGTAACTACTATATCTCTTATTATTTTGTCAGGTGGTAGAAATCTTTTTTAATGCTCTCAACCAGAACCTCGTCCAGTTTGAACTGAAGCCTGGTCTCGAAGTCGTTGTGTATGTCACTCAGTTAACATTAGGTGAGTGTGAAGTCAAATGCTTAGCTGTGGTTCTCTTGAGGCTTCAGGCAACTCTAGAAGAACTAGTCTACATCAGAGCACTCAGTTTGGTATGTGCTACTGGGGTGCATAGGACTGATCATGCTGAGACATTGTCTGTGTAGAAGCAGGAAGTATGAAAAGCAATCCAGCAGTGGCATCTTCATGCACCAGTTTGTACAAGTATTAGAAGTACCTTTTAAGAGGTCCCTATGGATCAATTAACTAGTGCATTGATGTTTTTCAAGTGTTTTAGAAAATCAGGCAAATGGTGTTCTATTAAGCCCTCATTGGGAACCTGTGTAATTCAGTGGGAGTATTACTATCATGGATATTGGATAAAATCCTTATTGCAAAGGGTTTGTTAATGTTATGACTAGCCAAGAAGCTTTATAGGGGCAAAATACTCATGAAAAGAAGATGTAGACCTCTTACGGGAAATATTGAATATTGACTTCTACAAATTAGAACTTATTTAAATTTCAGTGCTGCTTATTTCCATTTTTGCTCGAAGTAATAGTCACTTTAAGCTTCATCACCCTCTTTGCTTTAAACCACCCTAGCGTGAAGCTCTCAGATACTGCTGAGAATTTTGGCCAGCCTAGAGTAAAGCTCTCAGCTATTTCTGAGACAGCGATGACTACAGAGGAGATGCCAGATTTATTTTTACCCTTGCCATTATCTGAAATGTGGGATCTTGTGCATATGATGTTGCTGATAGCCTCTCAAAAGGATTGGGATTCATGTCACATGATAATACACTTTAGCTTCTTTTGACATGAGACTCAGAGAGCCAAGAGCTGGGCTAAACCAAGGCTCATGACCTGTGCTACAGGTAATGGCTTTTTGCCTTCACTGTCTGACTGTTGTGTGGGGGTGAGAGTCAGATGTTAACAAGAATATGCTGGAATAAATTAATGTGCAAAACTGCGAATGAAATCTAAATATCTGCAGACTCCAGATTCAGAATCTGGGTTTGTTCTAGTAAGACATCACAAAGTGTGGAATTAACTTACAGTGCTCAGTTATTCTGATGCATTTTGACTCAGCTGAAATGACAGTCAGTTGATTTGCACAAGAGTCCATCAAAGCAGTAGAAGCAGAATACTGTCAGTATCAGACTCTTAGGTGTGAAAATTTGGTGATGAAACCAAAGTGACTCTACTTACATAGACTTTGTCCCATCTTCTGGGTGATAGAAAAGGAATAGAGAGCAGTAAAAAAACAAACCCAAATATTTATGCAGAGTGAAAAACACTCAGCTGCTACTTAGAATCATTTGTGCATCATTAGAGACACTGTCAAGGATGGATGGATCAAGTCTACAAAATGGTATAACAGTGCATGCTTGGGTCCAGGATTATTGCTCTGGGCTCCTCTACTGACTCGACTGAAAAGTCTGTAAGGTCCAAAGCAAGGAAGAACCTTGAGGCTTCTCACCAGACAAGATCCCTGTCACATGTGAGACAGACACGTCTTTGGAAAATGGGAGTCATGCTGTTTACGGATGCTCTGAAGTAGCTTCTCCAAAGGGGAATAGACATGCGTTAAGCATGTCCCTGGAAAACGCTGAAAAGCAATGGCCCAGAGTGCTACCACAGGAGTGGTCAGCCATTCAGCTAAGCATGGCTTGCTGTGCCTTTCACTAAGAGATGTTAGACTGCACTATCTTAAAAGAGGAGCTTGGCTTTCAAAGGACAAGAGAGACAATTTGTTTCCTACTGATTGGTCTTGCAAAAACAGCATGCACTATGCAGTGGTGATAAAGCAGATGTAGCAAAAAGAGAGTTAAGCTTAACTCCCATGAGTTATGTATTCCCTAATAATATCTTGCAGATGTAATGCTCTTCCTTTCCTCCTGCAGCACCCCTTGTTGATTCCAGCACGGGTCACAGCAGTTCGGCGATGCTGATGTTGCTGTCTGTGGTATTTGTAGGCTTGGCTGTTTTTTTAATCTACAAATTCAAGAGGTAAGTTGAGAAACTTTGGGGGATGGGAGGAAGAGGTACTGTGTGGTTTACAGGAAATCTAGGCAGATCAGTTCCTGGATTGCAGATGAAGAATGGGTTATGCTGGCCTAAGGCTTAGACCGGTATAATTCCCTATTTCTCAAATTTAGAGAGAAGACAATCTACTGCCCTTCTACCACAAACTCAGTGCTCTTAAACATCACCAAAAGCTCAGAACTCGAACTAAGACCTGCATCAGCAGATGTGTTTGTTCCATAGATCAGAAATGGGAACCCTGTGTGCGCACTGAGTACGGAGCTACACAATGCAGACTTAGTCAAGAAAACACAGTGGATGTCTTCATACAGTCTATATCCATTTGGCCAACTGCCTTACTGCAGCAGTATCTCATTTGTATCTTGCAAAGTGAATACTTTAGTTTTGCAGAGGAACAGGTGTGATTATGTTAAAGATGGGAGACTCAAAGCCAGAAATTTTTGTGTTAAGCATCAAAATGCCTTTGGGAATCTGTGCTGAGATTTTCTTTGCCAGATGTTAATATAAACCTTTTGCCTCTAGGCAGGATCTGGGCTGGCCCATGGCACTTTGCTGCTGCCAGCTGTGAAACAAAACTGGCAAAACTGGGATGAGAATGGCCTGTTTGCTGAAGGGCTGCCTTTCGAGAATATATTTTAGGCAGATGGAGATCCTTAGGAGGAACTTTGCATTCAGTACAGTACTTACTGTGTTAAATGGTCTATGTGCCCTGATTCTGTCCAGTGGCAAAATATAGTATTAGAAGCATAAGTTGAGTCTGACTTTGTAAAAAAACCCAACAACTTAACACTGGACATAAGTAGCTCCTCCAAATTGGGAAGCTATACTTTTTCTTGCCCGGATTCCAGCTACATTTCTTTCTCTAGCTTTTCTGCAGCCCAAGGTAAGCTGAGTAGTCTAATGATGCTAGTGGGATACAAACCGTTAAAAATTGAATGATAAGACAGATGTATCGTATCCTAGTCTCCAGGTTCAAATCCCCCCTAATTTCTAACCTCTTGCATTAACCATTGTCAAAATCAGTGGGCTGCACTGCTTCTAGTGCTTGATCCTATGTGCATTAAGAAGTGTTACCAAGCCTTTACTGACTTCAGTGGCCCAGGACAATATCCAGAGAACCCATATATGTGAATCTGCTCAGGTGCAGATTTCCAGGGCTTCAGTGTGACTTGCTTATTGCAGATTGAAATCCTCTCTCAACTTCTGGAGGTGTAATACAGGTGCCCAGGTGAATGGGGAATGGAACATGGGACTTGTTTAAGGCATTGATTTAATAACTTGCTGGGAAAGCAGCTGCTGGTTTCTCTCACTCCTAGATGTAGAAAGAGGAAGGCAAGGAAGTCTCACTGGGACATATGTCAAGATGCAGGTACAACACTTTGTAAGTTGTGCTTTTCTTTGTGTCTTGGTGAGGTATTTTCTTAGGTTTGGCCTAATGTCTTTGGCTTTGTGATCACCAATCAGTTACTAGAAAGAAGGATCTGTATATTTTAGCTGCCAGAAGGCAGAGAGGTGCTTTGCTTTGGCAGTCTCCAGGTCATGTTATGCTACTACAGCACATAAAACTGACTCTTGTGCTACTTGTATCTTGAGACTCGAGCTTAGAAGCCATCAGCCAAGTGCTGCCCTCCAGGGCTGGTAAGACGCTGTCTTGTTAAAATCTGTTGAAAACTGAATGTATCATAAATTGGGAGTGAGGGGAAAGGTAATTAAAGAGTAAGTTTTGCTTAGCCCAAAGCTCATCCACTTAGTTTTGTTGCAAAAAGAGCAAACCCAGGTCAGACTGACAAAGCTTAGAGTTAAATCAGATACCCAGAGTGTCCTTAGCTTGATTTTTTAGAACAGAAAGCAACTTTTTGGCTCTGTCTGAATCTTCTGGCTCACTGGATCAGAACTGAGAACACACAACAATTCTTAATGGAAAAAAAAGGTGAAAACAAAAACTTCGCTCTAGCTCTCAGGGATGCAGAGGTCCCTTAGCCATATGTACTTTTCTAAGTAACAGTGATCCTATCCTGGATACAGAACTGCTGCTTACAGGAAAAGGTTGTGAGGAGAGCATGGGCCTCCACGAATTTTTAATTCTAAAATTTTGTAGAATCTGTGCTTTACTGGTTTGCACACAGACTCCTTATTGTGAATCCATCAAGTTATAGACCCAGCAGGCATGTCAAACACTGCTGCCAGAGAGGCGTTGAGGAGTCTGGATAGAAAAGGAAAGAAGGGGGAAAAATAGGAAAATAATCTGCAAAAAGATTGTTTTCTGGGAGACTGAGCAGGTAAATATGATATGTGTATGGGTGGTGAATAATTGGGCAATTAGTGTATGTGTGTCTTGGGACAGGAATGCAGGAGTGTGTGTGCATGCACTTGTGCTCAGAGAGGTACAGTGGGACATTCTGGTCACCTATGTTGGAAGGCACAGCAAGGTTAGGTGTATGTGTATGGATGCACGTATGTACAGCTGTCTTCGTTTCTTTTTCCCCTAACTCTCTGGAGTACCTGGAGGCCCTCTCCCACACAACTCTAAAAAGCTTTTCTCACTTTTCCTCAGGAAACTCTCACTTCTCTACCACTCCATTGTTTGGAAGCAAAACTAAGTTTTCCAGTATCTCCAGGCTTGTTCTCGTGTCCTCATGTCTACACACCTCCAGATGTATTCTAGGCCCTTAAATCCTATAGGAATGCATTTGTCCTCTGTCATCCAATGTGTGCATTCCCTGTGTAGTGCTTATGTCTTCTAGTGGCTTTAAGGCATGCCTGAAGGTTAAAAAGAAAAGGTAGAAGGGAGGGAGAAGAATATGAGGTTTGTTAGCTGTTACTAAATATCCTAAGTATGTCCTGACTTGCTGCTGGTTAAGAACAGAATGCCAGATCAAGCCAATAGCACGAGAGTTTTGAGGACAGAACTCCGCTGGAGTAAAATCAGCATAGGTCTATTGAATTAATGAGAGCTAAGGCAATTTCCACTGCTTTCAATCTCTGACATATCCAACAGCAGACAAGTTTAGTACAAAGGTATGGCATTTTATATAGCCTCCTTTGAATGCTTCTTTCTCTCTCCTGTGTGCTTTAAGACACTGGAAACATTCTCTGAGTTTTCCTCGTTTTAGCAGTGTGGACTGCATAGCATAACGTCCTTTTAAGGGCATTAGCAAAACCAGTCAGTCACCTTCTCACTGGCAGCTACACACAGATAACCCTAGCAACCCCCATGATGCTTAACACATTACTTTTCAGTTCTCTCATTTTAAACTTATATTCCTCCAGGGATTACTATCTAACCATCTGTGCTAGGCCTATCTAACCATCTGTGCTAGGCTTATCTACCTGGCTTATCTATCTGTCTAACCAACTGACTTTCAAGAATATCTTTCTAGCAGTCCAAGTTAACTTCTCTTGGAAGAAGAAGAAATAATCCCTTCACTTTCATGGCTTCCTGAGCATCAAGGGGGAATAAGTCTCTGCAAATTTGCATGAACTGTGTGTAGCATGGCAAACTGTTTTTGCAATGAAATGGCAACAAATAGACTTTGGGTGGGTGTTATAAGGTCTAAGTCCTTCCTGTACTGTGAGGCAGAACCAGTTCTTTATAACTCTTTCTGATGTGGCAATTCTTACTGAGTCAGAGTGGGCCTGTCAATAGAAGCAAGTGAGGCCATTTTTTTTCTCTGTTGATAGCAGTGCTCAAATTGATTTTTACTTTTGGTTTCCAATGCACCACTGATCATATAATAAATACTGAGAGAGTTGGCAGTTGCAGCTGATTCTGCTTAGTTGATTGCTGCTTTCTGAGCTGGGTGCAGTATCCACTGTGCGCACGACTTCTCATTTAAAAGGGCAGGGACCAGAACATCTAGGCTTACAGCTGGAAGAAACTTTAAGCACAGGATAGGAAGGCAGTGGCCTGAGATTTAGGGTAGCTTTAGGCTGTTAGAATTAGTGGATGCTAATGGCACTTTCAGAACTCAACTTCGCTGTGATGCTTTCACCATTGTGGGAGCTGATATTTGCATCACTGTCAGGGCTGCATTTCTGGGACTGGTCTCAGTTTAATCTCTCTGATTAGTCAATGACATGCTGAGGATCCCTGTGTTACAAAATATAACCACTCATTTTCTTTTCCTGCACAGGAAAATCCCTTGGATTAACATCTATGCCCAAGTTCAGCATGACAAGGAGCAGGAAATGATTGGCTCTGTCAGCCAAAGTGAAAATGCCCCCAAAATCACTCTGAGTGAGTTCACAGACCCTGAGGAGCTGATGGACAAAGAGATGGACACGCGAGTGACGGGTGAGAGACAGCTCTCAGCTGGGTTTGCTTCACAGTCTGGGTAAAGTTTTTGGTTATTGGGGTATTAGGAGAGGCAGCCACTGTGACCCCAGGTACAAGCAAAGCCTGAGGCACTGAGATAGGGAGCAAATCTCTCTCTGCAACATGGTAACAGGGAGTTTTTCTTACAGTTCTTCAGCTTTTCTCACAGTGGTACATGACCAGGGTAGAAACTTGGAAATAGCAGTAGTAGTAATAACTGTTGCTCACTCCTGTGCCTCCTTGTGACCCTGTCTCTCCTGTGAAGGTATCTCAGATTCCCCAAACCCTCAGAAGAATCAGCTGAACCAGGTTTCCGCTGTTGGTGTGCTATCATTATAATTGAATATGTCCCTAATAGCTTAATGAATTTATTGCTGCTCAGCTGAGCTGTATTAGCACCTTTTCTGCATGGTCAATGCTTATTGCAGATGCAGAAAAAATATATGTTACTTTTAAGCACTTTTTTTGTCATTACACTGACACAACCACATCCTTAGAAGGAGTGAGAAGCAATATAGAACAAACCATTAAGGCCACTGCCCTGACTCCCTTCTCCATTTTCTCCTCCACAGGAAGCATCTCAACAATTGCCAACAGTGAAAGCACAAAGGAAATCCCCAACTGCACTAGCGTTTAATACTGAGAATCCACTTGGTCTACAGCATTTCTGATTTTTTATTTGTAATTATTATTGTTATAATTATTATTATTATGAAAAAAGAAAGAGGTATATGTCATTATTATCATTTGGGAGGGGGTGGGGCGGGCTTTTTCTGTTTACCAAGGCTGCATTCATAAATAGCAGGGGTTCTTAATATTTAGGAATACTTATCAAATTAGAAAGAAAAAGCAAATAACAAGTCAAGTGAGCAGTAGGATTTGAATGCCAGCCTCCTGTTAAATACAGAATGGGAATTAAGTATTCAAATTAAACAGACAGGTATAGTACCTTAGGCAACATGTTGTAGGTAATTTGTCCCTTTTCAGCCTTTTTCAAAATAACTCATGAATCAGCTATTTCATCATCCCGGAGGGCTCAGGCTGGGTTGCTGGACCAGGCTCTGCAACATGCCAACAGCCTTAGCTTTCCAATGACATGCATGTCTCAGCTTTTTGCAGGATCTTGCCTCTTTTAATTGCTTTTAATTTCAGTCACCCTCTGGCACTGTTGACTGCTGAGAAAGGGAAAAAAACATCAGAGCAAACACACATCTTGGACCATAGATTGGCTGGAGGGGACAGCACCACAAGCAGTGAAGGAGCACGCCTGAGTTTATGAATGCAGCCCAAACCCCGTGCATGTGTATAGCGAGGATGCCGAAGGCCTATTGTAGATAATTACAATGTACATAGCTTTTTATTTCTTGGGAAATAATTTAATGTTTAGTAAAAGAAGATATGTTTGAAACAAAACCTGAACCACATACACACATGCACGCACATGCACGCACGTACATACACGTGTGCGTGCTCTCGTACACTCCAGCCAACCAGGGACTGTGGTGAGCATTTGAATCACGCTTTGGTTCCAAGCCGTGTTCCAGTTGTCTGTCATATTTCAATCTGGCACTGCTGTCTATAAACACCATAGTTTATTTCTCTTTGTAGAACTGCAAGCCTTTTTTTTCATATATAGAGCATCATTTCCTATGATGGAGCAGAAAAAGATATTAGCTGGATAACTATGAGCCTGTCGTGAATATTTTAATAATGTTCATCATCTGTCCACCTCTGTCACTGTTACCCATTTCTGAGAAAGATCTTGGTGACATCCATTAGGGAAAATGAGGAAAACAAATGTGAAATTATCACCATCTCAGTGTGGGCAAATACCAGTGTGCTTGTAGTACCCAGTACAACCTGAACTGAGCAGGGGGCCAGGGTGCAGTAGCTTTGCTCCCAGTGACAAGTCATGCTTTTAGCGGTTAAGCTGATGAAATAAAGTGCTATTCAGGATGTGTAAGGGTAACAAATTTTGGCTGAACATAATGCATGTGATTAGGGACTGCTCTTTGGAGAGGGGAATGGAGGGTCAGATCTGCATAACTTTGCTTGGAAAGGTCTTTCTTATGTGTGCTGTAGAACAGCTGCTTCCAATTTTGGATGGAAATGCCATCAGAGTAATTTCTGCATGGTGGGTTGGTACTTTCTGATTAGAACAGGGAGGTTAATTAAGAAAAGACAGTGAAAAACCTCTTTAGGAATCTTCTAGCACACTGAGTTGAGGATATACCTCAGGAATGGTGGAGTTTGGGGGCAAGAGGTTAAATTAGTGGTGAGTTACTTCTATCCATTTGAGTTAATGATGTTAAAAATGGACCTTATTCTTCAAATATTGAGTTCTAAGACTCAGCAGGAATTTAAGGAAGATTGAAGGCTTGTTTGGGAAGATGTTCTAGTGTTTGTGAGGTAACAGATGGCAAAAATGACAATGTTTGCTACCCTTTTTTTAGGATCTGGATACAGGACTCCACATCACTTTTAGTACATCTGGACAGAAATTCATGATGGCTAGAATTTAGGTGTTACTTGCTACCTCTCTGCATTGCAATGTGCCAGATAGCTACAAACCAGCCTCAGCTACATGTGTTCACTCTGTTAATGGGCTGGAATGTCTTTCAGAGTTTACAATCCTGATGGGTTTGCAGGTGGAGAGAAAAGTAGTTAAATACAGTTTGGAGAAAAACACAGGGCATATTTAAAGACCCAAATTGTAAAGCCAAAATGTACAGAAATACTGTCCTAAAGCTAAATATTCTCAACCCTTCTCCTCCATTTCAGTCAGGCTTGTAGGTCCTTTCTTTTGATTTAAAAATATTTTTCTGTTTCCTCCCTCACTTTTCTGCTCTAGTTCCTAATATAAGATGAAGAGTGATGTCTGTGTGGTTCTATTTAACCTTGAGTTCATCCATCACATGTGCATAAACTGTTGCATTACTGTCTCTGCTCTACTGAAACACCAAAGTAGTTTACAGTAATGTCCCAGTCTGGTGATAACACTGTTAGTGCGAGGCCACAGCTTCCCATTTAGGTATAGATGGGAGAGAGCTACATAAACAACAAGGCCTGTGTGCCTTGAGCTAAACTGTGGGCTGATCTCAGTCTGTGCTGATCATTGGGATTGGAGGGACTGGTTTTGTGAGCTGCTCTAGAGGACTGAATGTGAAATACTCCTTGTTTTTTGTATTAACTTTTATAAACCAGGAAACAAAGTGAAAATGTTCATTGTTGTTTGGAGTTTTCTAGGTTTTCCATGGGATTGATCTCATGTTGATTTAAAAAGAAAGGCAGAGTATTGCAGTTTTCTCAATTTCTTTCCACTCTTTTTTGCAGTATTTTTATTTTTGCATTTGTTTTATATTTTTTCCCTTTACAGTCTTAAAGGTGACTGATAAATATCTCACAACAGATGAGACAAAGCAAGGATGAAAAGTTGAGAGTAAGCTGTTGAAAAAATGGAAACATTTTTACTTCTTAAAAGAAATTTAATCTCAATGGGGGATGTGAAATTTCTGAATGATACGGTTAACTTTTTGAGAAACATCTGTCCAGAAAAACATTTTCAGTCCAAAATTATCATAGAGGCACTACAAAACAAAAAAAAAAACCCAAACAAAAATCCATGGAGCAAAAATTAAATGTCAAAAGACCCTACCTGATTCCTGGGTTGGCTTAGACTTCACGTTCTCTGAGACTTATTGGGGATTACTACTTTTTAACGTAGTTTGTCACACTGCTGTCTGGACCAAGGTGTGCTCCACCTATGTCTGGAAAAAGGTCTCTAGGATGTACATGGGACCACATTTGCCAGATCATACCTGCTGCATTAGGGCACAACTATGGATGATGGCAGCAGAAAAAAAGCCTGTATTCATGACTGAAAGCTGCTGCTTTAGGATATTAGATGGGTAACGAGTATGTCCCAATGGGATAGCCCGGGCTCTGTCTATCCATGGGATCTCTGTAAATTGGGATTGGATGCTGGCAATCTTTTTTGGAAGGCACCGAGCTGTGGCATTAGCAGAGCATGGAGTATTGGTCACTGTTATTTGTATATGTCATGCTGGGAAATAACAACTTGGGGGTGTCATAAAGTTTTTTCCCCTGCAAGTTTTATCCTGATGAAAATGTAATGGAAATCCTTGAAGCTGTAGATTATTATTTACTAGAGTAACGTGGGAAAGAGCCAATGCCATGAATAGAATCTAAATACCTACCATACTGTGGTGATGTATAAAGAGGAAAAGAGAAAGTGAGAGCAAGAGACTGGTTCAGTGCCCTTTATCACTGCCAGCTTTTCCCTCATAATGGATTCTACCTTATTAGCTGTATTTTAGGAATAATGCATGAGACCTGAGGACTAGATGAAGCTTTTGGCTCTGTATGGCTGTCAATCTGATATAAACACCCTGATCAATCTGATATAAACACCCTGATCCTCTACTTGGTTTAGCCTGTACTTGAGAGCCCCAACACTAAGCCTGGAAATATCAGAGATGAGGCTATAGCGACTGGAGACTGCAGAGTTTCTCAGTTGCCGTTGCCATCAATAAAAGCATATGCAGGAGAGTGTGCATTTTCTTCTGGAATAACTTTTACTTTCAGGGGTGTGCAAAGATAACCTGTTCTCTCTTTCCCTTCAGTCAGTTCCCACACACATTCCAGGTCTGACAAACCAAATCAGAATCGCATTCCTTCTGATGATGGACAGTGCATTAAACCCAAACCACCACCATGGTTTTGAAGGATTAAATGAGACAGACAATTGCAATACCTGTATTAAACTCAGTAATACAAATGCATGAGTCATATATATACATATATATATATATACTGTTCTTGGTTTTATCGTTCCATTTGAATATTTCTACTGTAAAAAAGGCAGTGGTTTTGAAATTGTTGAAAATAAATGTATTTTTGTACCTCAGAGTTACCCTGGCTGCTCTTTCAGTGTTTGTTCTTCTCAAATTGCCTTTCAGCAAAGTCTGCTCTATCTTCACTGAGTTTTCCTTGCCATGTCTAGCCCTCCAACCCTGTCATTCAGGGTAATGCAAAGCACATGGAGGGTCAACAGAGAAATGTATAAGGCAAATTTTTTAAGATTAAGAGTGTGAAACAGCTAGCTTGCTTTCTTACTGCTCCCCTCCAAAAGTCCTCTCTTTGTCTTTACATTCCACAGGCTGATTCTCTTTGAAGACTTGGGAGGTGAATAGGAGGGCACACCTACTTGTTTATGCAGACAAAGCCCCATGTATGCCATGCTCTCATCTGACAAACTTTAGTGTGAAAGAGGCTGTAGAGTGCCATGGTGGAAAAAAAAAAGAAGGGAAAAAGAAAAAATCTTCTTTTCTACTTGGCATAAGAGACTGTTTAGAAAGGAAAAGAGAGCATGGAAATGTGTCTCTGGATATGCATCAGCATTCTCCCTCCATGGGCATACATACCCATTCTCTTCCTGCCCTTTTCTTTAGCTCTGGAGGTCCATAAACTGCAGATTTCTGGAGCGTGGCAGTTACCTGGGAAACACCTCTCCATGGCTGCCTTTTGCTTATGCTCCTTCCCAGGTGTCCACTTTTGGTCTCTGGTGGAGGAGAGCCAAATCTTTTCTCTGACCTGATGAATATAATCTTTTATGTACATATTACTTCAGAATGCAGCTGGTATCTGTTTAATTCTCCCTTTTGAAATTAGCTATCAGTTATTTCTGTTCTTCCCTTATGACAGTAAGCTGAAAAGGTCAGGCAGCCAAGACTACTTTGGCCATCTGGGAGCGATGAAAAGCCTCCTGCATCATGGAAGATCACTCAGCTTTTGAAATCTTTAGGTCTGGCCCTCTTTACAGCAATGCCAGTGTAACTTTTCTGTTTATGGAATCCTGAAATGAAGTAAACAAAGTAATGAAAAGACAAGCACAAATAATGACATTACCATGGCTTAACAGGCTACTGCTGAGACCCAGTAATCAGCTGTGCAGAAACCCAGCTAAGTACAGCTGTGAACTCAAATGCAGGCACTTAAACATCAGCCCTTACCATACACTGGAAACATGAGCTCAATCTTTTCGTGAATCCAGCTGTTTTTCTGTAACAGATGGAATTATGCCTTTATTAAAAGCAGTATAAGCATTGTTTGCTACTTTGTGGTATTCTTATGGCTGTGCCAAATACACCCTTTTCCTGGTGCTGCTCAGGAAAATTGCATCATAACTATTCCTGGAGGCAGGTCATCAGTAGTCTTTCACTCGTCACCATGGTGCTTGTCAGCACCCACGGCTGCCATGCTGCGTGTTGAGCATATGTAGTACAGGAGAGAATAGTACTGTCAAGGCCATTTTACCTAGGTTGGTGTGTTGATACTGGAAAGTTTGGCTTGGCCTGGGCTCACTGACTAACGAAGCTCCTGTGTTCCTTGTGCAGAGAGAGCCTTTCATTACTTGTATAATGGGAGCACCTAGAGGGCCTGGCTGAGAACGCATCGACCTCGCACCCACCACTGAATAAACCACAAGTGCAATGAGGCTTGGCTGGGGTCGGCTGCATCGTCACCCACACACTGCAGCAGATAGAGATGGAGGAAGGTGCATGCCTGAGCCAGCCAAGGCTCTGTCTACATGTTCTTTGAGGAACTGGGCTGGGTTCTGCTGTAAGGCAGAATCCGAGAGGCACCTGAAGGACTTGTACAATACTGGAAGATGAGTGCCCTTCTAAAATCATCAGCCTGAAGAGGCTTAGCTTATAGTCACTGTCCTACTTGCCAGCAGTGTGCCCAGCATTGCCAAGGTAGGAGAGGAGCCTCTTTCCCTCGGTTCAGTCCAGAGCTTGGTGCAACCACAAATGCAAGTCCTCATGCCCCAGAGAATTAGCCCCGTGCTCCACGTACCTCCCTGTGAATGGTGCTCCTAGACTTCTAGTCTTTGTTCGGAGACAAATGAGACATTTCCCACACAGAACTCATGGCACCATGCACTTCAACAAGGTGAGGTAGCACTTAGCTGGATTTTCCTTCTGCCCAGTTCTTTTTTTCCTTGGCCCTCTCCCCAGTTAAGTACTCCGGTTATTAAGCACTATCAATGCAACACTGCATTACTGACATATTATTGTAATGCATCACTCAAGTGATGGTCTACTGTCATATATCATGGTGCTACATCAGAGGACTGACAGATGACAGGAGCCCCAGACCCAGAGACATATCATTTTTCTAAGCTTTGTGGGCTGCTTTCTTTCTCTAAGACAGCAAGCAAAGGCAAAGAAAGCAGTGTTGGACTACTGCCATGAAGCTTTCAAGGCCTTTAATACATTTATCTATACATTTTTTTCCTTTGACCCTGAAACATTAATTAAACAAGTCTGCTGATGTTTATATGAGCCTGTAGAGATGGGTTCATTGTGGGTCATGGAGGATGGAACAATTGCTCAGTGTGAACTGTTTCAAAAAGACTAGAATATGTGAGTGTGGGTGAACAGAAGAGAAAGATTTGTCCTTGCAAAACAAAAATAAAAGGTTTGCTCCTGAATTGCAGATAATTATTAGTACATCTTTTGAGTATATTTTTAGTGCAGTTCTCCAGGTAGAGATGGAACAGAAGACAATTGTGGTGTTTTTTCTTGGGATTTTAGCCATGATCAATACAAAAGGATTTGCTTTGCCATTGCTTTATGCTAGTTCTACCTGTGCAGGCTCCTGACATCAGTGAATTTAGTTTTGATTTACACCAGTCTGAGCTGTCACATTTAGAGGAGTTACACACCTATTTCAAGGACAGAATAAATCATCTTTAATGCCTCGTGAATGTCAAACAGTTTTCAGGCCAAAATTTAGGGGAGATTGTAATACAATAATTATAAAAAAACATAGAAACATAGGAGGAAGGAGAAGGATGTTTATTAAGTGAAATAGAAATGTTACAAGGACGTGGGCTTTCAAAAATCCTGTGTTAGTTACATGAACCTGGAAGGCAAAACGGAGAGAAAAACTGAAAACCTGATACGAAACAGAGTGAGAAAGAACGGAGGTGAACTGGGCTGGCTGAGGGCCTGTGCTTGACCAGCATACACAGTGAGAGGGTTATGGATGGTTAATCATTTAGTAATTTTAGCAAGGGAAATGTCTAAATTCTCAGGTTGGATCAATCAAATGAGCAGGAAATGGAGCACATCCATTACATAAACAATGCGGGCATCTCCCACATCCTGAGGCTCAACCTTGAAATTTAGGTTCTAAGTGGTTGTTTTGCTAGTGAAGGCCCACTGTTCAGCACTGAGGTTCCTTGTAGAGCAGTGGTAGGAGAGTAACAGTTCAGACAGGCCATTTCTAGAGCTCAATTCAGGGTTGCATGTAAGTGTATTCAAAGGGCTGCATTGGTTCTGCAAAAAAGATGTGGCTCCTGATTCAGCAGTGTAGGGAAGAAGAGAACGTAGGAGAAAAGAAGGCTGCGTGGAGACCTCATAGCAGCCTTCCAGTATCTGAAGGGGACCTAT